AGGAAGTGTTCATCCCAAGGTCAAAGGCCTGAGTGGATGACATCAGGGAGGGAGAGAGGGTTGTTTGAGGAGAAAACAAACCCAAGGACAGAGCTCCGGGCATGCTTCTGCCACTTGCTAGCTCTGTGTGTCCTTGGACCAATGTCTTAACCACTGTGATCGGTCCTCAGTTTCCTCACTTGTACAATGTGGGTAATAGTTCTTACTGCCTATGGCTGTTGCGAGGACCATGTAAACTCTTAGATGTAACTGCCGAGAACCCCACCAGGCTGTGGTGAGTTCAAGTACGTTACCGAGAAGAAAGACACACAGAGAGCTCACCTGGGCAGGAGCCAGGGAGGAATCCCGCAGGGGGCATGTCAAGAGGGAAATGGTCCCAGTGATGACAGAGGCACCAAACCAGCTGGAGCCCCAGAACTTTACAGGCATCATCTCGGTTAACTCTCCCAGCACTACCATGAGGGGCATCTATCAACGTGGCCATTTTACAGATGAGGAGAATGAGGTTCATAGACTTGTCCTTGGTGACACCACCTGGAACAGGTAGAAGAGAGACTGGGACACAGCTGTAGATAACGCTTCCAGAACATCTGCTGGTAGCCACGGCCCCACAGTGCCCTTTGGGGGGGGATGGCAAGTTCAGGGAGTGGCCGTCGGGATCTGAGACGCCCAGAGAGTGATGTCCCTAGAGTTTCATAGCCCAAAACCGCATTACTAAGAATTAATCACACGTGGGCAGAGAGGAAACAGCAGTGGGGGGTGGAGAAGTTTGGTCATGAGTGAAAGGGGAAATAGAAGGGCAGCATGTTGGGTGTTAAGAGGAAGGGGTGCTGGGGTTAAAGAGGTGTTATGGGAGCAGAGAGACTGGATTATGACATCAGCAGAGGGGAAGGGGACCACAGAATGGGAGGGTGGGAAGAGCCAGCAGGTGGGAGTGTGAATGAGGGGAGGAGGCCCTTTGGGGATTAAGAAGGAACGAGGAGAGAGGCAAGTGGGAGCTGAAGAAGGCAGTGAGGGTTTGAGCTGCAATCTGAAGGATGGGAGTGAAAAGTCCCAGTGGGAACAATGTCGGTTTGGCAGGAGGTAGAAATGGCCACAACCCACAAGGAAGTTGTGAACCAGATGGAAATGGAACCAGAGAGCCTTGGTCGGGTTCCTCTGCCTCATCCATGACAGGAGGGCTCAGGTGTGCCTCACAACCTGGCGGGACACACCGGGTCAAAAATAACTGTCCTGGGGTGAAGGAGCTCCTGGGACAGAATGCGAGATGGGCCCACTTCGCAGTTTGAAATTTGTAAGTGTCCATGCACCAGTCCATCATCCATCAATCCATTCTTCCTTCCGTCCATCCATCCATCCATTCAACCACCTAGCTCTTCATCCTTCAAGTAAACATATTTTATTGAGCACCTACTGGGTGCTAAGCCCTGTAGGTACAAGTTGGAACACAAAAGAGATACAAGGCGTTCACAGAAATAAACCGACCATCACAGCGCAATGTGAGGAGAGCATGACCAGTATGTGACCTGTGAGGACAGAGGGGAAAGTGGGGGTTGACGGGAGGAAGGGAGGGTTTAAGCTGAAATCTGAAGGAGGGTAGGAACGAAAGGAAGTGGGGTGTAGGAGAGCAGGAAAGAGTGGTCTAGACAGGAGGGACAGCCTGTGCAAGGGCTTGGGTGTCAGTGAGAGCCTGGCATTTTCCAGGAACTGAGAGAAAGTTGCCATGGCGACAGCAAAATAACATGGTGGGTGGTGGGGCTGGGGGCAAAAGTTGAGACTGGAGAAGTTGAGGCTGCAGAAGTTGAGGCTGCTTCCTCCCGCTCAGATCCAATTGCCTTTGGACTGTTCTCCTAAAAGGCCCGCGTCCGGCTTGTCCCCTGGCTGTGCCCTCGTCCTTCCTCCACCAGGAGCTCCTTGCCCCTGCGGCCTCCATAGAGCTCTACCTCACTGCTGCCTCCTCCAGGAAGCAGCCCTGATTCCCCTGACAGAACTCCGCGTCGCAGAGTCCACACAGCACCATACAGGTCTTGAGGCCCTTATCACAGGCCCAGGTGGCAGGACATTTCATCTGGAAGGTCCCTTAGAATCCGTCTCATGGCCAGGAGGAATACATGGGTTAATCCCTGGTGAGGAAACCACCTGAAATGCCCCTGGTCTCTGCGGCCTTCCCACGGAAGGCCAAGAAGGGTGCTCAGCTCTCAGGCCCCTGCTCAGCCTCACCTCCTCGTCCTCTGGCCCTGTATTCACTCAGCCAGTCCTCCCGGAGACCCTACTGAGTCGAGGCACTGCTGGGAGCTGGGAACCACGGTGGTGGGTCAAGCAGACCCGGCTGTCCTCACGAAGCTCGCTCTCTCGCCATCATATCCAGACTCTCGTCCACCAGAGTTTCGAGCTCTTTCCCTTATTAATCTCTGCACATTCCCTCCTCTGCACCTTTGCTAAGCGCTTCCCTTGTGTGGAATGTCTATCCCTCCTTCTCTTGGTGTGAATCCTCCCATGCACAAGGCCCAGCTCATTGGCCTCCGCCTCCAGGCAGCCTTCCAAGTTAGCCAGTAGCATCCTCTCCCCACTCTGGGCCCCGTGGCCCTTTATCTCACCTGCACGGTCATATATGGAGCCAGGCCTTGATCCTTCAGCCCCACCAGCTTCAAACCCCAAGGGCAGGGCCCGCATCCGACCTCTGCCCGCCCCGCAGCCCTGCACAGCAGGCACACAGCAGGCACACAGCAGGCATCCTCTGGCATGCTGCTCTGTTCCCCCCCTGGCCAGGCAGCCTGCACCGCCCAGAGCTAGTGCAGACCTTTTGTCCCTGCTGTTGTCACCCGTTCCTTAGAAGGGACAGGGGAATTTGGGTCCTTCCAGAGAAAAGTTCTGAGTCTGTGGCAGAACAGGGGTGACTCAAACCCTACTCAGGAATTTTCCCAGCAGTGGGGTGTGGGGCATCACCAGGAACAAACTGCTACTCATCATCATAATAGTCCCCGCTTGTCCAGCACAGAGCTTTCGGGGGCCCTGAGGCAGGTGGAGAAGGCTCAGGTGGTGGGGAGCAGCCATGGGGCACAGAGAGGTCGGGAGACACTCCACCCGGAGGCTGGCATCAGCAGACACATTCCCTCTGTCTCCTCTTAGGACCCAGGCCCTCCGCGCGCACCTCTGGGTTTTTGTGTTTCCTCTGGACCCAAGGCCCTGCCTCTAGGCCAGAGCTTCCCTCTCCCCAGCCAGGGTCTCCAGGGCACCAGCACCCCTTACCGCCACCAGCCTCGTCTCCTCTGCCTCAGCAGCTCGGGGACTGCTGGGTGCCCCTCTGTAGGAGGCGGGGGTGGTTCCCACCCTCAAACATGACCACAAGCAGGAGGACCCCACTCCGCTCCCCTCCACCGCAGGTGCAAATGGAAGGCAGCCTTGGGGGCAGAAGGCATGGCCCAGCCAGACAGGCTGGGAGCACAGAACCGGCCCAGGCTGTGGCTTGAGGAGTGGGTGGGGCTAGGGGGTTCTGGCAGGTACGTGGCCCTAGAGAAGCAGAGAAATGCTACCATTTTGGTGGGGCCCCCTGAGACAGTCTAAATATCCCTCTACAGGTGATAAAACTGAGGACCAGAGAGGGTCTGTGAGCTGCCCGAGGTCACACAGTGAGACCCTAGGTAGAGGATCCTGCTCACAGGGAGACGTTCTGCCATGGACAAGGTGACACCTTATCCCCAGGAACTAACGCAGTCCCAGCCTCCCGAGGTGGCCCTGGGGGCGGAGGAGAGTCTGGCTTTTCCTTCTCTGGTCTAGTCTGGCGCCCTGGTTTCCTCACAGGTTCAGGATGAGCACCTGCTCCTGGTAGAGCCGGGTTTCGGCAAACAGCCTGCTCTGGTTATCGCTGGTGACAGTTTATTGATGGCTCAGTGATGAACGGAGCTGGCTGTGAGGGGACGAAGGCACCTGACCCCACGGTGCAGGGCGGTGTCATTCCAAGCTGCCCAGTCACCTGGGACAGGGTGGAGCCAGGCCTACGTCCTGTGTGTCAGAATCAAAGTCCAGAGCTGCCCTGCTGAGATGCTGCCCACCTGCAGGTGGGCAGGGACTCTGACCTAGTTAAAGGGACTCTGATCTGGCCCAGGGAGCCCTAAGCAAATTGGTCATTTTCTCTTGTGACCAGGGGACTGACCCGATGCAGTGATTCTGTGGCACATGGGTTCATGGGAAATCTGCTCAGGGCCTGGCTCAGCCTGCACCCTGACCACGTGTCGGATGCAGACTTGGCTTTGCTGGGAGGCAGAGGCATCACCGCTCATGGCTCCTTTCATTTTGTTTTTCAACCTAGAGTGAGACACTGCGTTGGGGGAATGTGGCTGCCCCATCTGCACACATGCAAATCTGGACTAAATGATAATTCAAAACTGTCAGACTCTGGCCTTCTGTGGCTCAGGGAAGGACTCTGAGCTTGAACTTGGGGAAGGACCCACAAAGTTGTCTGGGCCTCAGGCCTTTCTCGGAATGAGATGGAACTGTGGCCTTCCCTGCAGGGAGCTGCCCGTGTGCCCATGCAGCTGGCCAGTCCCCCGAGGAGGGGAGGCCTTTCCGCACCCTGAGCTCCTTAGGGCCCAGGTTAAGGCCTCTCTTGGCCCCTGCCTGGCTGTCCGCATTCCCAGAGCACCGGGCACAAAAGAGGCTTGGAGCAGGACGGCCCAGTTTAGGGTGAAGCTTGTTCTGTTCTAATAGAGGAACCAAGAAATATCTCTGTAAAAGGAGAAGTGTGTCGCCGTGGCCCCCCGAATGCATACCCCACTTCTGTCCGCAGTTGAGTGCCCATTCTCTGGAAAGCCACAAACATTCCAAACCTGGACTTCTACTGAATCATCTCAAATTCTAACTCCACTGGTCCAGGGAAGGATGGGAGGTGGAGCAAAATTTCCAAAGAGGTTAAATAGGTCACCTCCACCCTTGGCTGTCATCCTGTCTCCTCCAAGCAGAGGGACCCACACGCAGAGACCTTCTCCTGGGCTCCTGGCACCATGACCCCAGTGAAGATGCTGCTCCTGGTCACCCTCCTTCTGGGGGCTTCTCTGCAGGCCACCCACGCAGGTGAGAGCGGAGGAGAGGGGGGCACCGAGCCGCGGCACACGCACTGCGTACCGCCCGCACCGCCCTCATTCCTGCGCGGCCGTGAGGCAGCTGCCACGGGACCGGGAGGGAGGCATTCAGGAGAACACAGTGATGATGACAAAAATAATAGGATGGTGGTGAGGAGGGCTGGGGAGGAGGCCCCAGCACTTGGGACTGGCTTGGTGAGGAACAACATGCTCCCACATCTCACACTCCAATGGTTGCGAGACTGTGACTGTGTTTGTGTTTCAACAGCGAAAAGTAAACAGTTCTCAGAAGTATTGTCAGGCCCTGGCCGGTTTGGCTCAGCAGTTAGAGCGTCGGCTCACAGACCAAAGGGTCATAGGTTTGATTCCTGGGTTGCAGGTTTGATCCCAGGCCCCAGCTGGGGTCGTGCAGGAGGCAACCAACGTGTCTGCCTCACATCGATGTTTCTCTCTTTCTCCCTCTCCCTTTCTCCCTCCCTTTCACTCTATTAAAAATCAATGGAAAAATATGCTCAGGTGAGGATTAACAAAAAAAGTATTTGTCAGCATGTGTTTAATGAATGGGGCTTCCATACCATGAGGGAATCAGACAAAAGCAGGAGAATTTGTTCCCAGAGGATGTGAACAAAGACATTTTTACATTCAGTTGGGAAAGGAAGGCTGAAATCATGCCCAAAGCTGGCAAGTGCCCGCGAGTGCCCGCCAGCAGCCTGAGGGCAGTCTCTGAGGTTATCTTGTCAGCGGGCCACCTGCAGTGGCTGCGTGGTCCCGCTTCTGTGAACCACTGGGCTGGCTCAGCTCTGAGCGCGAGTCTGACCAGGGTAAGCCCGGGATGGTCAGAGGGCACTTGGGCCTTCTTAGAAACATGCCAGTGTGGTATTAACTAAAATCACAAGGGTTGGATATTTGTCACGCAGAGGTGAGGAAATGAGCCCCGGAGAAGTGTCTTGGCACCTTGGGCCTCTGTTTTGTCATCTGTACAATGGGGTGGTGACAGCACTGTCTCCCGGTGCGCTGTGAGGACTGAGGGCTGCTGCTGGGGAAGGTTCAGCTCAGAGCCTGGCCCAGAGTAAACACCTGATGATTCAGGGCTGGTGCTGAGTGTGCACACACACACAGATGCACACACAGAGACACACATGCAAGGAAGCATGCACGACTCCCAAAACACACACAGAGACATATGAAGACACACATTCATACACACACACACACACAGGGCCTCCCAAAGCCCACACAGAAACTTTATGCACACTAATGTGCACATGTGACACACACAGACACATGTGAAGGCCCTTCACACACTCCCCACACAGAAACACACTCACAGATCCCCCCAAAACACACACACACACCACCTCATCCCTAACACAGACCCACCCCAATACCACACAGACACACACACAGAGACACATGTGAAGGCCCTTCACATACTCCCCACACAGAAACACATTCACAGATCTCCCCAAAACACACAGACACACACCACCTCATCTCTAACACAGACCCACCCCAACACCACACAGACACACACACAGACTCCCCTCCACAGACTGACAGACACACATACGCAGACACAGCACAGACACTCCCCGCAGCCACAGACACTCAGCCACACCCGCCTTGCCTCCCCCTCCGCAGCTCGGGGCACCAACGTGGGCCGGGAGTGCTGCCTGGAGTACTTCCAAGGGGCCATCCCTACCCGAAGGCTGGTGGCCTGGTACAGGACCTCGGAGGACTGCTCCAAGAGGGCCATTGTGTAAGTCTGCCCCTCACCGGGCGCTGAGTGTGGGAGCGGGAGGACGGGGAGCTCCCGGAGGGGTCCCTGGAAAGAGGAGAGCGTGGTCTTCCTCGTCCCCTCCATCATCCTGCCCTGTCCTATGCCCCCACACTGCAATGCCCAAAGGCCCAGGCTGTGAGGTCCAGCCTCTTGGTTGACTTATGGGAACACTGAGGCCGTGAGAGAGATGGGACAGCCCCATGTCACATGGGCAGTCCCAGGAGTCATTTCCCCTGGCCTGGGCCTGCACACTCCTAGTTCCCAGGCTCCTGGTGGGCTGGGCAGAATGAGGTGGCAGACAGAATTTCTTATGGCCCTGGCTCTCTGGGAGGGTCAAGAGTCACTGAGGACAGAGCCAGATGTCCCAGATGTCCTACTGACGCTGTGTGACTCCGGCAAGTCCTGGTCTGTGCAGGGTGAGGCTGCCCGGGGCTCTGCAGGGGCTCCGCCAGATGCCCCTGACAGTTCTCTCTCTCTCTGTAGGTTTGTAACTGTCCAGGGCAAGTTCATCTGTATGAACCCCGACGAAACCAAGGTGAAGGCGGCAATCAAATACTTGAAAAATGTCATGAAGTCACGTGGCCCCCGCAGCCAGTAGTCCTGCTTTCTCCCCGGACCCTGTGAAAGCTTCCAGGGGCCTCAGTGTTTGCTACCCCAACCCCAGCGGCCTGGGTCCAGTGAAGGCCCTACAAGGGCAAAGATGACCCCGGCCGCCTTTTCTGACAAAGAGGACTCCGACCTGGAACCATGGCATGAAATGGTCCGGATTAAAACATTTTTTCCTCAGTCTGGGTCAGTGTGTTCTGTCCACCCCAGGCGGCTGCACTGCAAGGGTCCCCAGAGAACACCCGGTCCTGCCTGTCCAGGTCGGAAAGGAAACTGAGGCTGAGAGGGGGACAAGGCTGCTGCAGGCCATGCTCAAGTGAGGGAGGCCTAGGCAGGGGTGGAGTTGAGGGGTTCCGTGGGAAGCGTAGGGGTGAAGGAGAGCTCAGCAGACCCTCCTCTCTGTCGTGTGCAGCAGGCAGGAGTTCCGTCTGGGAAGTGTCATCTGGGTTCTCAGGCCTCTCGTCTGCCCGGAAGACCGCACTCTCCCCCGGACCCGCCCCTGTGCTCACCTGTGAGCCCTGGCCTGGTGAGGAGCTGAGCACACACTGCCCCTAAAGCGTTTAATCCAATTCCACAGATGTTTCCAGAACCCTTCCTTGCAGGGTTCTGCTGAGTACTGGGGAGCTCGCTGGCCCGGGGGTTCCTGCAGCCCCCTCCCCATCTCGCCCACCTCTCACTATAGAATCGCAAGACCCAGGTCCCTCTCCCAGCTCAAACCCAGGCCAGTTTCCAGGGTCCTCAGCCTGTGTCCGGCCATCTGCCGTCTGAGCCTCGCCCCTGCCCTAGCACGATGTCCCATGGCGCCCAGGCTGCCTCCCTCCGCCCAGCCTCAGCCTGAGCCAGCCTCTTGGGAAGCCACTGAGAACAGCGCCCACCGGATTCTTTCTCCTGATTCCGCCAGCTCCTCCGGACTGTAGGGCAGCCCACCTGCGACAGCCCGTTCTCCCCTTGACTCCGGTGTGAGTCTGTCAGTCCTGACTCCTCCATTAGGTTGGGGGGCTCCGTGTGCTGCCCAGGGGACCCCACAGCCCATCAGCTCAGAAGGAGGGTGCAGGAGGCTATAACCACCACCTTTGGTCCCCTCTGTCCAGGCCCAGCTCCGGGCTGGAGCCCTCATGGGCAGGGCGGAGTCAGCGTTCAGATGCTAGTCCTGTCTCACCGTCCCGACTGGCCGTGGACTTGTGGCTTCTCTCTCTAGAAGGCAGTCTCGGGGGAGCAGTATTCATTTGGTCCTTCTCTTCCTAGGATTTTGTGATCTGCATTGTTTGAGGTTTTTTTCAGGCAAGGTTTTTGCCTCTTGCTGTCCCCTTGTGGTCAGTCGCCTTACTGCAGGCCGAACCAGCTCAGTTTCCAGCAGGGGCAGGAATAAAACAACAGTGATAGTAAAGAGGCTGATAATGGTGATGAAATGACTTACTCTGTGACCCCAGGGTCTCCTGGGCCACCAGCGGGCTCTCCCCCTGCCCTGAGCTTGAGGAGCGTTTCTGAAACAACTGCCTCAGACCCGGAATCTTGGGAGCACATCAGTTCGAGTTCTTTGTGGGAAAATGTCGTGGGGATCCATGGAGGCCCTGGGAGGTTGGGGGGAGGTGGAAGTAGGATGCTCTCATAAATTTGGGGGTGGGGTGAGGAGAGAAGGAGCCAGCAAAGGAGAGGGAGGATTCTTCATCCTGCTGGCCAGATCTGGACTCAGGAATGCATTCCTGTGCATTGCAAAATTGTCTTACAAGAAGCAAAACTTTTCCATCCCAGGGAAATCTCCCTCGGAGGCTCATACTGTAAACTCAGATAAGCAGAGCTGCTGTGAGGGCTGCGTGTGTGTGAGAGGGGGTTGGGGTGTGGGCAGGAATGCAGGAGATGGGACCAGCCACCAAGCTCTCCTGTGGGTCCCGTCAGGGGGGCGCAGGGCTTTGTTCAGGGCTAGTGGGCATTTCTTTAAGACCCAGGCTTTTATGTGTGGGTTTTCCTAGTTTTTTAAATGAAATGTCTCATAAATACAAAATACATAATGTATGTATAAGAAATGCCAACAAGGCAAACACCTGTATACACACATAAGTGCACACACACCCCCACAGACCTTTCCAGACAGAAACTCCATGCTGCTCTGAAGTCCGCATCGTCATCTGTCCCTGTTTATCACGCTCCTTGATTTCCTTTAGTGTGTCACATGTGTGTATATACATAGGTATGAATGTATATGTACAAGTGGTCCCTAGCAGTATGTTGATGCTTCTTACGTGTTTTCAAACTTTTGAACTTTATATGAAAGTTGACAGATTTCATACACACACTCTTCTGTGACTGGTCACCACGTGCTGACTCGGCTCCCTCATCTGCCCTCTTACAGAAGCCACATGGGTTGCCCAGGTCTGAGCAGTTTTCTGCTTTGCCTTCTGGTGCATGTGTAAAAGGATTTCTCTAGGGCAGTTCTCAACCTTGGATGCACTCTAGAATTACCTGGGAAAGCTTTGCAAAATGCTCACACCCTAGGCTCAATTGCAAAAGATCGACTTCACTGGTCTTTAGAGGGGTGGGGGTCCCAGGCACAGGCAGTTTGTGACTTATTCAGAAGCTACTCAGGTGACTAATAGACAGCCAGCGTTCAAGCTAACACTATAGGGTGTAGCTGTCCAAACCCATCCCTCAACAGTGTGGAAGAGTTCCCACCTGGCCATACCTTCATGGATACCTGGTAACGTTTCCCTGTAGCTTTCTCCTCCCCCCGTACAACTGGCAGCTGTCTGGAGCATAGTCACAAAGCAAAGCCTTTCTGCCCAACAACCAGCATGCTTCTTGCGCATGAGACTCCTCTCTGCGACCCTTCCTCTAGCCCCGCTGTCTGCCTGCTATCCGCCTGCGCACTGGGACCCAATACGACGGGCTGGGGTTTTGATTTTGCAACTCAAGGAGAGTTCTCAGCCTGGAGCAGGTACGGCCTCACTTGTCCCCTCTTCTCGCCCTCCCACACCCCAGCTCCAAAGCCGCCGCTTCCGGCCCCTTCCAGCTCTTCGTGGTTCTGTTCTGGCTGACTCCTGACCTCCAGGAAGGTGTGGTCTGCTCTGCTGCTCACCCCACTTATTGCTTCGGAAGTATTTCAGGGAGAAGGGGAAGCCCTGACTGTATGCTGCCAGTTGCTAAGAAAGCAACATGAGTTTACAAAAAATACGATGCCCCAGCTCCATCTCAGACCTACCGACTCAGACTGTCCAAGAACATCGGACACCTTACCTTTAGCAGTCCTCAGGGGACTGATGGCAGCGAGTCACCCTGTCTCACCCAGTATCCTCAAATGTAATACCAGAGTGGTATCTGGGACTGTTTCTGGCTCTGAAACCTCCCCTCAGAATTGCTGTCTTCCAAAGTCACAAGGTGTGAGGACTGGCAGCACCCCCCATGCCAGCACGGCAGACAGAGGTCGTGTTGCCCTTTCTGCCAGGGAGGCGGGATCCAGAATGAGCATTAGGTCAGCGAGGGCATGTGGCACTTGCCCTGGGCTCTGGCAAGCCCATCCCAGGAATCTCTGGCTCAGGAGTGCCTGCCCTCAACCCGCAGGCCGAGGTTTTTGCCCTTCACGTTGGCAACGGAAGCAGAAGCGACTCGGAGGCCCAGCAGCTCCACTAACCCGTCTGGGCTGTAAGTTTCCTGTGGCTGCCTAACCAGTGATCACCACCCAGAGGCTTAAAACCAGACATTTATCCTCTCAGGCTCTGAGCGCCAGGAGTCCTGCCAGGGAGGACGTCCCGGGCGGGGTCTCACCTGGAACTCGGGGCCTGGAGCTGGTTCGGTGGATCCCTGCTCCCGAGGGTGTAGGGCTGGGGCCCCTTCCCCCTCGGCAGCCAGAGGTCTGCTCTGGGCTCCCGGGACCTCTCACGGAACAGCAACTAGAAGCCGGCCAGGAGAAACCCTGTTCTCCAGTTTTTCCAAAGGAGTAACGACTGGGTCAGGCCCACTCAGGAAAGCCTCTTCTCACCGACAGCCGTTAGGAACTCCGCCTCCGCAGAACCCCTCGCTCTAGCCTAGTGTAACCCAACCACAGAGTGAGGTCCCATCGTGCTCAAAGGTCCTGCTCATACTCAAGGGCAGGGCGCCCTGCGGGTCTTCTTCAAACTCTGCCAACCACAGGGACTTCTGAAAAACTAGAATCTAGCCGCACCCCTAACTGAAATCCACCTGCAGGGACCAGGAGAAGCAAAAGCAAATATAGAGACAAGTTCTAAGGACTAATACCAAAGAACACTTTTATTTATTGATAAGATATAAAAATCCAGGTCTCTTAAACCCACACAACCTCCCCAACGATTTGGCAAGATCCACTCCGAGTCTGCGAGGGTGGGTAACAAGAACGAAGGGTGTCTTGCTTGGAGAGATGGGAGTGTGGGTTCAGATTTCTGTCCTGCTTCCTCTAAATCCCATCAACCTGGACTCTTCTCAAGGAGATGGGGAGGCCCCAGTCCCCAAGTGTAGGACTGGCACCATCTGTGTGTGACACAGTCTCCAAAACAAAGTCCTGTGGTCTGAGTGAACTTGGATGACTGCCAGACATCACACACACATCCTTTCTTCCCAACTGGTGTGTGGAAGTATGCAAGTTTAATACCAGATGAATAGAACACGGGGGTGCAACACACTAAGATGAGGGTGGGGGCAGGAAGGGTGGAGGGACTCTATGATCACAGCAACCCATGAGTGACTTTTGGTGCCCCCAGGTCACGAGACACTTGACTCATGTCACCAGGAAGTGCATGTTGAGTGAACCAACCCTGCAAGACAAGTAGTGGCACTTGCTGAGCACACAGTAGGGGCAGGGCCTCTCTGTCACAGAGTATTAATACTCCAGGAGTCTGGGTTTGGAGTGTTACGTCAGCATGTCGACACTGGGAGAGGGAAACACATTCTGTTTCCCTAACACGAGGTGAAGAAACCAGCCCCGCGCAGGGGAACCAGGCAACCATGACACCTTGGTCTTTTGATCCACAGCAGCACTACACACCCCTGTGCCCCACAGCCAGCTACACTGCCCACTGTGCACCCTCCCTGCAAATGGGTTTCCAACAGAGTGAACAGATGCAGAGACGAGAGCTGAGGGACAGGAGTCGGCTGGAGGAGCAGCTGTGTCCCGGGCGGGGTCCCTCCTAGGCATCGTTGAGATTGCTGTTGCTCAGGAGCACTTGCTCCCCAGGTTTGAAGGCTGGCATCCCGAGGTAGGGACAGCTGGCACAGCGGAAAGCATCGCCCAGGTAGCACTGTTGAGAGAAGAGACGATCACACTGGCAAGCTTTTCCCAGAGACAGAGCCAGAAGAACAAGATCCCTAGTTTCATGATATGGTGACAGTGGCCGGAAGAAAACGGCTGGGTGCATCGACAGGTCCCATGGGGACCCAAACACTAAGAGTTAAGATCTCTGGTTCCATGAGAACAATGGTCTATAGAAGCTCCTCAGGAGGCCACATTTCTATATCCTCAGCAGTTCAGATCACAGCTGAGCTCAGCTGAACAGGTCCACCAGGAAGTAGGAAGGGACAAAAATAAGAAACGAGTATGCTAACCCTCTCTTAAGAGATAACCTTGCTTCCGTTACAACCTACATACATGTTCTCATATTCACCTGTTATTAAAATACTGGGGCATTAAGTTCCTTAACTGGAGCTAGTCTGTGTGTAGTTCAGGATGATGCTCGACCCCACTAAGGATTTGGGGAATACTGAGTAATGATATTTACGTTTCCACAAGCCGACTTCGGTTGGGAGCTCATCTGTTCCCTGGACTTCTCCTTTTCCAGTTCTTCAGCAAGGCCACATGTGCTGCAGGGAACCAGTAGCTGATGAGTGAGACTGGCCACCACCCAGCCACTCCAAATCCTGGGCAGTGCCAAACGTGTCTAAGACTTTTCTCTTTACACCAGGATGTCTTTTTTGTTGTTGTTGTTAATCCTCACCTGAGGATATTTTTCCATTGATTTTTAGATAGAGTAGAAGAGAGGGAGGGAGAGAGAGGGAGAGAGAGGAAGAGAGAGAGAGAGAGAGAGAGAGAGATCGATGTGAAACACATCGACTAGTTGCCTCCCGCAGGTACATGCCCTTGACTGGGAGTCAAACCCAAGACCCTTCAGTCCAAGGATGGATGCTCTAACCACTGAGCAACTGGCCAGGGCTATACCAGGATCTTAACTCAACTGCCTACGAGCCAGGTAGGTAAGATAAACACATGCGGCTGTTTAGGGGGACGGTAAGAGTGGTGGGGAGGAGGAGACCCAGCAGGGAGATGTTCTATCTACAAAGGGCAGCCACTGCTCAGCAGTCGTCTTCCCCCCCACGCCCTGACAATCAGCTCAGGACATTACTTGACTAGCAGCGAGCGTCCGCTTTGATCTGCTCTAAGGGGACAACTTAGGGTGTGGTGAGCTTAGAGCAGGCTGGCCACTGCCCCGGCCATATTTCTGCTGCTCATCCAGTCCCTGCATCACACTACAACCCTGCCAGGTCTCTAACTGGGTTTCCTAGAACTCATTCACAGCTCTTCCTACTGACTGCCCGGAAGCTGCTTTGGGAGCTTCTCAGAAGCCAGGCCAGAAGACCCTGTTGATTTCACCCTTCCCTGGGAGACTTCATAGACACGGAATGCCCACCTTTCCTTGCTGAGTCAGGTTGGGGCTCACTACTCAGTTCTTCACAACTAAGTAATATATTGTTTGAGGATTCACATACAGGTGGTTAAACTATCAAAAAAGGGCCAAGAATAATTAATACAAACTTGGAATGGTAACCCCTTGTGGGGAAGAGGAAGCACGATGCAGTCGAGGAAGCAAGCAGAGGTGACCGCTAAGGTGCCATGTTTCTGATTCTCAATCTGGTGATCCGTACTTGGGGTTCATTTTACTTCTCTTTAAAATGTACCTGCCTACCATATTCTCTTGTATATATTATGCATTTCACAGTGAAACACGTGTCTGTTTATAGTAGGGCACTACTGCGATTCCTGGAGACTTCGAAGCCTCTGGAGGCAGCATGGCCGACGGTGCTAACGCCAGCACTTACCAGTTCTTACAGGCCTTCCTCTTCTTCCCCTCTCCACACGCAGGGGCCCGCAGGGAAGCTGGGTCTGGCTTCTTCAAATCTTCTGGATCCAGCAGCTCATCTGAATCGATGAGATCCTGCAGAGTGTTCAAAGCAGTTAGTGACAGTTATGGCCTCTGCTAATGAGGCTAAGGTGGTCACAGGAGGAGAGAGCAGGGTTGCACCGACTGTGTAAAAAGGCCCACCATCCTCCTTCGGGAGACCCTCACGTTTGAGCTGACCACCACAGTGAACCAAGGTGCACAGAAGATGCACTAGGTTGTGGGGGGACTGGGAACTGACTTACAACGAACATATTATGTGTACGTTGGGGAAGGGAGGCAGGAAGAACAGAGAAAGAAGCGTTTTACATATATGAAGGGCTGTCAGGTGAAAAGGGTTTGAATAAAATAGTTTCTCTATAATTCCAGAAAAAAGGGGCAATAATGATACATTCATTGTGTAATTTTTTGATAATCATGTGGGCGATTAATCTGTAAGTTCTATGAGGGCACAAACCATAGCCTATTTTGCTTGCCACTATAACTTCGATGGTTGTAGAAATGAAGAACTTTATTACAGAAGGACTGATCAAAGATGGAGAAGCATTGCTTTTAAGACAGTGAGTGTTCAGTGACTTGCCCAAAGGAGCCAATATGATAGTTCAGCTGACAAACTCTTTTCAGGTTTGCACATGCCCACAAGAGTCTTTAATATGTCACGTGAAGTAAGAATGAGAACACCTGTGTGGAAAAGCGATGCGGGTGACAGGCACAGCCACAATGCTGCGCTTTAAACACTTTCCCACCTACCAGTCCAGAGAGGCTACTCCAAACCAGACACATTCACACCCAAGGTGGGGCATAAAAGAAAGCAATCAAGTGGCCACAGTGCTGACTCACCATGCTCTCATCCTCCATGTCATTAGCTGAGAGGGTCCAGAGTTTGGCAGCTGCAGGGTCCATAGCAGGCTTCACTGAGTCCAACCAACAAAAGAAACAGAGCTCTACAAAGAAGCCTTAAACGAACTGTAAGCAAACATAAGTGCTTTCGCCCTGGCTGGTTTGGCTCAGCCGTTAGAGCGCTGACCCACAAACCGAAGAGTCACGGGTTTGATTCTGGTCAAAGGCGTGTACCTTGGTTACAGTTCAGTCCCCGGCCCTGGTCAGGGTTGTGTGGGAGGCAACCAGTCGATGTGTCTCTCTCACACTGATGTTTTTCTCTCTCTTGCTCCTTCCCACTCCATCTAAAGATAAAAATGGAAAAGTATCCTTGGGTGAAGATTAAAAAAACAAACAAACAAACATAAGTGCTTTCTACTGACACTATGTAGAGAACATACTGAACTGAAAGTCAAAGACTCGGGTTCGAGGCCCAGCTCTACCACTTACAAAGGCATGAACTTTAGGCCAGTTGCTATGATAGTGACAGAAGCCATCATCTGTTAAGCACTTGCTTTGTGCCAGACATTATGTGAAGCATTTTACACACATCATCTAATTTAATCCTGCTGACAACCCTATGAAGCAAGTATCTGTCATCCTGATTTTACAGATGAGGAAACAGGTTTAGATACTTAGGCCAGTTGCACAAAGACACATATGTGATACTGTCTAATGCTTTTACTTCCCCTCCATACTGCTTTCTCTTCATCTTAGTTTCCATCCTCAGAACATGGGAGCCAATGGTATTCCCTGAACCTACTGCAAGTGACTGAAGATTAAATGAGTGTGTGCCAAAAAGCATCATGAATAGCACGGCTTTAGCCTCTCATAAACCTGTTACATACAAGAAAATAAGCTCTGGAGCTGATGGTGGCAGTGTAACAAACTGATGGCAGATACAAACCTCCTGAGTTTCTCTATGGGCCAGGAGATCACAAGGAATGGCCGGAAAGGGCTGAGATCCTGATTCAATGTGGGCGTGTCCTCAAATGGGTTGGGGGTGGTGTGTGAGTGTAAGAGCACCCCCTAGTGATCACTGTCACAACTACATGCTCGGACCTTCCACTGGGCAAACTGCTCATCTAAGCTGCTCCCACCCATTTGTATTATGAACCCAAAGGTTAGGATTCCAAAGGATTTCTTGCAGATGTAGGCTAGCCAGTCAAAACAGAGCGGTGAGCCCCTTTCCCCAACTGCCAGTAAGATGCTCAGTCCTTCCGAGGAAGCTAAGGCCACGCTGGGGGAGGCCCTCCCCCACCTCATGGGCGTCCAGACCAGTCCCGGCAGCGCTCGCCCAGCTCTGGGCCACCCTGCCTGTTTCAGAGCTCGCCTGCGCCTACTCGGCTTATCCTGCACGAAGATGAGGTGACAGTGATGGAGGATAAGATCAATGCCCTCATTAAAGCAGCTGGTGTAAATGTTGAACCTTTCTGGCCAGGCTTATTTGCAAAGGCTCTGGCCAATGTCAGCACTGGGAGCCTCATCTGCAATGCAGGGGCTGGTGAACCGGCCCGCAGCGGGTGCTGCCCCAGCAGGGGGCCTGCCCCCTCCAGACTGCTGCCCCAGCTGAGGAGAAGAAAGTGGCAGCAAAGAAAGAAGCTGAGGAGTCTGATGACGACGTGGACTTCGGTTTTTTTGACTAAAGTTCTTTTGTAACACATTCAGTAAAAAGCTGAACTCTAAAAAAAACACAGAGTGGTGCAAATGTACTATAAATTTTTTACCTCACAGCCGGGATGACTTTCTCAATTCAGGCATTAAAAAGAAGTGATGGGACACGCAAAGTGGAGTGGGGGAGTGTAACTTTCTGAGCAGAAGAAATGTTTTCATAAGTGTCTTAGGATCCTCAAAGTAAGAAAAGCTGACTATTGGCACAAAGGTAAAGGACACAAGGGAAGAGGAACAGGGCACTCTTATCGACCATGCCCACCACCACGAGGTCTTCTGAGGATAAATGTCAAAATTCTAATGCCTGGATGCCCTGGCCAGGTAGGTCAGTTATTTGGAGCGTCATCCTGTACACTAAAAGGTTGTGGATTTTATTCCCAGTCAGAGCATAAACCTGGGTTGTGGGTTTGATCCCTGGGAGGCAACCGATCGATGTTTCTCTCTCACATTGATGTTTCTCTTGCTCTCTGTCTCTCTCTCTCTCCCCCTCTCCCTTCCTCCCTTTCTGAAATCAATAGGAATATCCCTGGGTGAGGATTAAAAAAACATTCTGGGGTCTAGAAAGACTTCATTAACTCAACTCTGTGACTCAGGCCTCTAAGATCTGGAGGCCTCAGTGTCCTCCGGTGCAGAAGGGCTGAACTAGATAATATCTATGTGTTATTTCAGTTTGGGATCTAAAAATGCCTAGGACAATAGTACATTAAGCATTCTTCCATTTGGAACTGACAGAAATTAAGAAAGGGCTAATCCTCTAAAAAATCTCACCACCTCATTCAGATCTCTCGCTCAATTTCTAATGTGTCCTTCCAGGCCTATTCAGACAGAACATCCAGACTTACCTGAAGGAGAAAACTTCTTGGCAGTAGAAAGCTTAAGTTGACTAGAAGAACCCACTTCAAAGTTGGGTTTTTTGCCTGTAATTTGCACAGAGAGCAAGCTGTCACTATGGTAATCCAGATGTTCTTGGACAGACTGTATCTCCTTGGGGCTCAAGGACTCCCGCTGCAGCTGGAATTCAAGACATCAAAAGGATTAGGTCACATTTCTACAAAATGATGTTCTATGTCCACCGAAACAGGCATCAAGTACTCATTTCTATGTTTTAAGTACTACACAGAATGGCAGGATATTATATGCAGGATAATAGCAGGAGATAACAGACATCATCTCATGCCTCACATTAGTTTCTTACTGATCAGAACCCTAGAGTGTAGCTTTTATCTACATTTTTACATTGAGCCTATCATTTGAAAAGTTTTAAAACATTTATTAAATATCTGCCTATTATGTATAAGGTACTGCTAGAGTCACTGTGGAGGTTGTGGTGATTAATATAAAGATGAATCAGATATGGTCCATTGAATAGGATTCAAATCTATAGGGAAGCATGCCCACCATAAACACACTAAAATTTATATCTTACAAGGAAAAGAACAACAGGAGGAGGGAAATGCTTTCTATGCTCCTTGGGAAGTAGCAGCAGAGAGTAAAAGTAGAAAAGTAGGTGGGGGTGCTGTGTCATTAAAACAATAACAACTTCTGCGTCTCACAATTACAGAATGTTTAAATAAATCATAGCCCACCTGTAGCACTGAGTATTGTTACATCATTAATATGAACAAGGGGTAACACAGAGATGGGTAAATGTCCAAAGAGCTAGTGACCAAACAATGTATACGTATGACGTTACTGACATTAGAAAAAGATGTGTATATGTACATATGTATATGTAGATGTGTGTGTACGTGTGTGTATACTTGCAAAAACATTTTTTAAAAGTCTGAATAGCCATACAAAAAAATGTATTGGTGGCTTCCTCTGGGGAGGGAGGTGTGAGCAAGGACTGGAACGTCACTTTATATTCAATATTCTTCAGTATTAATTGAATTTTTATGAGCATCCCTTATTTTAGAACAAAAAAACAGAAAATCTTTTAACTAAAAAGAAAAATAAAGGGTAGGCATGAATAAATTAAGGTCTTCGGTTATGTGGCAAATCAGTGGTATAATGGCTCTCATATTACATTTACCTCTCGTGAATGAAAATTCATTCAGAGAAGAATGTAGAAATATAAACACCTCTATTTAATTAAAATATTTCCACTGAACTGTCAAAAATGGGATTTCTCCTCCAGCCTACTCCAGCCTCCCATCAATATCTGAAGATGATCTAGGGAACTGTGCTTCACTTGGGCCTAGGATTTACATCCATTAGGGGATCTGTGTTCTTCTTTGCCTGCCTCGGGGGTCACCGTCACTAACCCAGTATTGAGACCAGAATGTGCCCCGAACCCACAAGGGCCCCAGCTAAACCTCTTCAAAGGAGATTTATCCCAGAGGTTTTGTCCTTTGAGGCACCATGCAAAGTACTTCTCAACTTATTTCCTAGTCTAAGGGAACCGAGAACCTCACCTTCAAGACTGTTATCGCCCCAATTCTCTTTGTATCGTCTGACAAAGAGATACTGGGTTTAGTGACCCAAGGTTTAAGTTCCCAGCAAAGAAGGTTGTCCACCAACATACCTCTTTTACTTCCACAAGACCAGAAAGAGTCAGGGCCGAACACAACTTAGATGCTGTCTTCACTTTGCTATTGTTAACTGCCAAGAGAAAAACCTCAATCAATAGCTTTATAGGTCAAAGCAGGAAAAATAATAAAGGCTCTATCCTATTTGGGTTAATAGGCACTAACACAATAACCTTTTCTGTTTAATGTATATATATTTTAGTGATGATATTTTAATTTGACTTGGTTATTCAAAATTCTCTTACCAAAGCTCTTAAGTTTTATATAATAATTCCATTATTGTTTCTTGTCGCCCTCTGCTTCTTAGAAATACTTAACCTTACAGGGGTTGTTAGATTGAGAAAGAGGCTTAGAAACTCTAAAGTAACAGGTACTGTGTTCTTGTTATAGTTCTGACAAAAGACATTGTGTTTAGTCACTAAAGTTTACATTCCCAGCAAAAAACAGATACCTGCTATACACATCACAAGTTTACATCTCCACATAAACACCTTCATACATTTCAAAATACTTTCATTTCATTTCATTTCTATGAAGTCATCACATTTTTTTTTTAAATCCTCACTCAAGGATATTTTTCCATTTATCTTCACATACAGGGGGAGGGAGGGAAGGGAGGGAGGAGGAGAGAGAGAGAAGAAGAAAGGGAGAGGGGGGAGGAGACAGAGTCGGGGAGAGAGAAAGAGACAGAGACATCTCACATCGACTGGTTGCCTCCTGCTCAACTCCAACCAGGGCTGGGGACCAAACCACAACCGAGATACATGCCCTTGACTGGAATCAAACCCGAGACTCTTTGGTCCACGGGCCGACGTTCTAACCACTGAGCCACTGGCCAGGGCGAGTCATCACATTTTGATGGAAAGTCTACTTAAAAACTGTTAAAATTCAGCCCAGCTGGTGTGGCTCAATGGTTGGGCATCGATCCATGTACCAAGAGGTCGCAAGTTCGATTCCCAGTCAGGGCACATGCCCTGGTTGTGGGCCCGACCCCCGTGGGGGGCATGCAGGAGGCAGCCAATCCATATTCTCTCTCATCAGTGTTTCCATCTCTCTCTCCCTCTCCCTTCCTCTCTATCTAAAATCAATAAAGAAAAAATATTTTTTAAAAAATTGTTAAAATTCAGAACTGAATAACTTTGACACTTTACCACTTGAACAAAAAGGATAGGTTTTTATTTTTCGTATTCTATCATTAATTTCCCACGAATCAATAATTACCTCATCACTCCCAGACTTCCAGTCACTATTTTTCAACTATACCTATGGATGCACAAGAAATTTTAAAAGTTCAGGGAGGTCTTGAGGACCCTTTACCTCGCTTTCCCATGGTAACATCTTATATAATTCTAGTATAGTATGAAGACCAGGAAACTGACATTGATAGTCCACCGAGTTTATCCATATTTTACCAGTTTTACACGCACTCGTGTGTGTCTATGTTTCTATGAAATCTCAGCACATGTGTAGGTTAGAGTAACCACAATTAAGACACAGAATGTTCCATGACCACAAGGAACCTCGTATTAATCCTTTACAGCCTCATACCACATCCTCTGGCAAGCACCAACTTGTTCTCCACCATCTATAACTTTGTTATTTCAGAAATGTTGCATGAATGAAATCAGATGGCATATGACCTTTTGAGACTGGCTTTTTCACTCAGCACGATTCCCTTGAGATTGATCCAAGTTGTTGGGCATATGGAGTTTGTTCCTTTTTACTGTTGCATAGTTTTCCATGGTATAGAAATAACAAAGGTTAACAGTTCACTTGTTAAAGGACCCAGTCATTTTTAGATAAGCAGTTTCCTTATATTTTATTACCTAATGGGTCAAAGACCTCAAATTTCTTCAGATGTGTTGCTTAAGATTTTACAATAATTTATCTCTAAGGAGAAGGTTTGCTGTAGAAATATTGATCTCCAAATGGTATCTCCTGCTCAGAGAGATGCAACAAATATACCTAAAGATTCAACCCTATTAAAGTCTAGTCTTCTAAGTGAAGATTTCCTTACCTACAGCTGTCTCTATTGGCTCTTTCAGAAAAAGACATCCACCAGGCCGAAGGATCCGGGCCATCTCAGCCAGAATCTCAGCAGTGTGCAGCGTGGTACTTCCAGGAATTATACCCGATAAAATAACGTCAAAGCTAGACTCTTTGTGGGCAGCTGAAAAGAAGGAAGACTCTATCAGCAATCACCTGGACCCCAGAAGCAATCTCCCAAGCCCTCCCAAGCCCCCATGAAGGCTACAGCCTGGCCTTGTAGAATGCACACCTACCTGTTCAGCAAATGCTATTAGAATATCATTACTATCAAGAGGGGCAAGGACATGGCTGCCCTGCTCTCCTTCAGTCTTACTAATTTCATATCCTTTGGTACGCTCAGGGAAAGAAGTCAAAAAGGAAGCTAGATGAAGAGTAAGCTTTTTAAAAAAAATGTGGAGTGCCCTGGCCGGTTTGGCTCAGCAGTTAGAGCGTCAGCCCACAGACCAGAGAGACCAGGGTTCGGTTCCTGCTAAGGGCAGGTACCTCAATTGCAGTTTGTCCCTGGCCCTGGTTGGGGTCGTGTGGGTGGCAACCAGCCGATGTGTCTCTGTCACATGGATGTTTCTCTCTCTCTCTCATTCTCCCTCTCTCCCTCCTGCTCTATCTGAAGATAAATGCAAAAGTGTCCTCGGGTGAGGACTAAAAAAAAAAATGTGGAGTATCTAATAAGAAACAAGAACATACTTTTACAAATCATCAATTACACTACTGAGCTCACCATATCTCAACTGAAAAACAACAGGGTAACCAGCCACTACTATCACGTGCCACCCAAAACAAAAACTCAGTTATCATGGAACGACAGAAATACAGCCCTCCCACTGAAACCGACCCATCTCCTCCCACCCCCATCCTGGGTAGGTGCTTACACTGCAACAGCTGGTTGATGTTTTCCACAGACACTCGGCCTTCACTGCCAGTTAACGCCTGAAGTTTATCCACCAGATCTTTCAGAGCCTCTGCCTGGGACGACTTATCCCAGACCACCGCCACAAACTGGCCAGCTGAGATTCCGAAGTCTGCCATTCCTGCAGTGCTGCAGACCTAAAAACCACGGGCCAAAGAGTTAAGACAAAGCAGAGATACAAATGCAATTTCATCCATGAGGCACCATTGAATATGATTAGAATCACAACCTAATTCTGACGGGGAATGCTGACCACATTAGAAAATCTTCCTGCCAATACGAGAGCCTGAATAAATAAACCCATTATCCCAAGGTTTCATAACCCCAACATACACAAACAAAGCAGGTGGCTTCCTCAGTAAGAATCCTGTCACGCAAGGAGCTTGAAGGTAGAAAGATTATTTCCTCTTTGATATGAGACAACTTGGCTTGACCAGAATATAAAACACACAGGACATTAGGCAGAAGTATGACTCAGCAAGCAAAGCAAATAAATTGGCAGACATAACCCAACCACAAGCTTAATGTTTTTCTTTTAAAGACACAAGTTATTAAATTTCACAAATTGAACTCTTTCATCAAAACATGATCAATTTGCCCTGGCCAGTTTGGCTCAGCGATTGGAGTGTCAGCCCACGGACCAGAGAGTCCCAGGTTCGGTTCCCGCTAAGGGCATGTACCTAGGTTGCGGTTCGTCTCTGGCCCGATTAGGGTTGTGAGGGTGCCAACCAGTTGATGTCTCTCTCTCACGTCGCTATTTCTCTCTCTCTCTCTCTCTCTCTCTCTCTCTCTCTCTCTTCCTTCCTCTCTCCCTCCTGCTCTATCTGAAGATAAGTGCAAAAGTGTCCTTGGGTGAAGATGGAAAAAAAAAAAGATCAATTTTTCAATAATCAATAGTATCTACCATGTCTTTCTTTAACACTTAGTATTAGCCAAAGTGTTCAAAACACTTTACATCCACTATCTCAACTGAACCTCTGAACAACCTTAAATTAGCTATTATTCCCATTTTATAGCCAGGAAACTGAGGTTATTGATTTTGCCCAGGTCACACAATTAGTAAGTGTTATATGGATAAAGTAAGAGCTGGAGTTTGAATCCAAGTCCATATGACCGTAAAGCCCATGCTTTTAACTTATGGAAATTTCCTGGCATGGGTCAACTTTCTTCTTCCATTTGATACTCAGATGAGTATAGAATGTGCTCACAATGAATTCAGGTCAGGAGATAGCACTACTCAGTTCCTCCTTTCTTTCTTAAATATTAATACCACAAAGTTTCCAACTTAAAATAGCTCTAATAAATGACATAAAGACAGAAGCTGTGGTGGAGACATCAAGGATTAATCAGTCTTATGATGAACACTTCGTCTTCTGCAGAAGTGGCTAAGTGACAATTATGCCACCATGGACACTCTAGGACTGAATGTAAGCCATGTCCACTACATTCTTCCTTCTTTAAAAATGTTGACTTCAAGTGACTTGCTCTTCTGCCTACAAAACATGCCCAGGTTAGCCAGTCATCCTTCACTGCTACAGTACTTTGATTTTGTTGCTAATTTCCTAAAGGAGTTACTAAAGGTTTTCTTTTCTAGAGCAAAATCAAAACTCCTTCGTCTTCTGGATTCAGGTCCTCCATAATCTGGCTCCATGTGTATCTCCCACCTCTCCAAAGTGAATCCCTCTTCATTCTATGAAAAACCTTTGCATTTACACTCTATCATGCCTTTTATCTAGTTCCTTCCATGTACAATGCACACTCTTTATTATCCCGACCTGACTTCAAGTCACAGTAAAAGGGTGCCAAGTGTTATCAAACAATCAGGATTCCTTGGTCACCGAGTTATGGTTTTTGAGTCCCTTAAAAATGCACAATCATGAAATAAAAACTTTTAAGCTTTACTGTCTTATGATATTGAGGAAGAAGCTTTGCAAATCCTAAAGGTGAGCAATTTGGGATCAATATCACATTTAAGAAATAGCCAGGGAATATAGGAATATGGACTGCTGGGTATTAAGTTATAAGAAACAAATGACGTTTCTAGAATGATGTTGGAACAGGATCTCCCTTGGGACACTAAAGAGAAACAATACTCCCTGTTCAACAGTGACTACTAAATCTTGCACTGTACTCAAAGAAAAATCCTCAGGAAAGAACCGAAGGGCCAGAAGTTACTTATTAGCTACAGAAAAACAAAGACTCAGGTGTCTGGACCTTTACAGCAACCTGTACAGAGGCAGAGTTTTATAGAGCAAAGGTTTTGAAATACAGATTAACTGGAGTTCTATCTATCACTAGATCTTCTCATTAATAGCTACATGACATGGGTCAGTTATTAGCCCCTCTCTTTTCTCATCAATAAAGGAAGAATGATAATTTCGTATTTGCAAGGCTGCTGTAAGAAATAAATGAGAAGATGAAAACACGCAAAGCACTCAGCAGAGTCTGGCACACAAAGCTCAATAAAATAATATTCTGAAACAACTCTGAGGCTCCACTTCTCGATGGCTGGGAGAAATGTGAAGCTTCTTTTTCATTGTTGGAATTATCCAGTGTAAGAGCTGCATTTTATGACATCTTTCTTATACAGTACTCCAGTGGGACTGTGTCAGTAAAGTACAAGAAGGTAAAATGCTTCATATTCCATATTCCCCCCAAACTAATCTTCTATGGTAAGAGAGAGTTCATAAAATATATTTATCAAACATTAACCCTCAAAAAACTGACTCAGCCACAGGTTTTGGTCAGTATTTTCCTAATACAATGGGAGAGAATGTTCTTTTAAATATCTAAAAGCCAAAGTGTGATGTTTTTCATCATCAGAGTTTTGTGCTGCTGTCAATCTGTCTTTCTAAAAACTACAAATAAAATAAGGAAAAACTGTGGCACTTAAGTCAACACACTTAGAAGTGTGACTCAGAGCCCAATTTCATAACTAAAGAGAGGTGGAGCAGAAGTCACTGTCATATCACTGGACTTGTTTGTCATACTCCTCTCCAACTCATTGCTGCACACACATGCCTATGAATCTTCTAAAACGTTACTGGCAGGCAGTGACAGCAGAGGTCTCAGCGTAACTTCTGAAGATGCACTTGTTTATTTTTAAGGTACCCAGTAAACATAAAATCTTGAGGCATTCGTCTCCTCTTAAAGAATAAACAGGGCCAAAAGAAAAAACTAAGATTGAAGTTTAGGTATCAATTCAAACCCAAAATCAAATCCTTTTAAGTCAGGTGCATAAAAGAAATCTGAGAATCCTGACAGTCATTAAAAAATAAAATTTTAATTAAAATGAACTGACTGGGTTCATGCACGCATATATGCACCCCCCACTGTGCACGCATACACAAAAAGTAATAATTAGCAAGGAAAAGAAATGGAAGACTACCATCAGGCAGTTAGGTGTGTGTCAAGAGTTAAGGGTTTCAGAACGGATATCCAAGTGCTAGAATTTCCACAGAAAAGGCTCATTTGAAGGTAAGTGGATAGAACTCAGAAACACAACAAAACACTGATGGAGCAGTGCTTTATCAAAATCCAGAGATATGGAAATGAAATTTTAATATTTGGGGACTTTTGCTTAGGAGGATATCCCCCACACTCATGCAGGGAAGAGCAAAATGATTTGAAAAATCTAGGGTTGGTAAGGGGTGTTCAAAACAAAGAGAAGGGTCTGACTGCGAACACAAAATTTACAGAAAGACATGCCTAGCTCCTGTCACCCTTAATCCCTTTTCCCAAACCATTTACATCTTCCTACTAGTATGAAGCCTTCTCTGATGATAGGTGTCCCAGAGAGGTGCTCTGCATTGACATGAGACCAGTCCATGACCTTCGAGTCACCCAGAGCTTGGCACTCAATGTCTGAATGATTGCTATCAGCCTTTACAAATTTGCATTTCCTACAAATCACTTAGGAGCATTTGTTAAAATAAGATTCCTGGACTACACCCAAATGTACTGAATCAACTCTCCAGAGAAAGACCTGGGTACCGGACTTTCCGAGGACATTTTGTTCAGATAGAGTGGGAGGGAGGGAGAGAGAGAGAGAGAAACATCGACGTGAAAGGGACACATCGAGTGGTCGCCAGCCACACGACCCAACCAGGACCGGGACAAACTGCAACCGAGGTACATGCCCTTAGCGGGAACCGAACCCGGGTCTCTCCAAACCGCAGGCCGACGCTCTAATCGCTGAGCCAAACCGGCCAGGGAAGTACCCAACTTAACAAGCATCCTATGTGGTTCTTCCGATCTGGCAAGTTTGGGAAATATATTATTATACCGACTACACCCCTTTGTAGGTTTAGGGAAATCACTGGCTTAAAATTACAACCTGGAGGTTTCTCCAACGACCGAAACGTCTTCAGTTTGGGGGGCTGAGGCCCAAGGTCACAACAGCTGGCTACTGGCAGAAGTGGCTCTCAGACCCAGGTCTCCCGGGGCCCAGCTCAGGGCTCTTCCTCCTGACCCCGCGGTTCCCGGGGCCTCAGACCGGGGCCGCCAGCGCAGCAGACGAGGCAGCCCAGGAAGGACAAGGGGCCACAGCTCCAGGAGCCCGGCGCAGACAAAACCAGCCCGGCCCCTCACACCGGCTTCTCTGGGCAAAAGCCCGCCGTGGACCTTGTGGCCAAGGCTAGGTTCCCACCATGGGACGGGGCTGTGACTCGGAAATGGGAAGATCTGGGGACGAGCATGAGTCGGGAGGAGACCATTGGGGGAGGTCGGGTTCTTCGGTCACCCCAACAGCACCTACCTGGTACCCAGGTCTCGCTCTCCGCTTCTCCACAGCTACTGGCTCTCCGCCACGCGCCTCTCGCGAGAGAAGGAGGAGGATCCGCGGCGCAAGAGGGCGGAAGTGGCCGCGCCGCGTTCGCAGAGCTGTCCGTCACGTCGCCGTCGGAGGCGTGCCCGCTTCCAAGATGGCGGCGGCGGTGGCAGTGTCTGGTGCTCTCGGCCGGGCGGGCTGGAGGGTCCTGCAGCTGCGGTGCCTGCCCGGTGAGGGGGCAGCCGAGCCGGGGAGCAGGGTGGAGCGGGGAGAGGGCGCGAGGCAGACCTGGGCCGGGTGCGGGGCGGAAGAGGCCGTGGTGGCGGCTCGGGAGCAAGGTGAGGTGAAGGACACGGGCGCGGAGCCGCCGGCGTCCCGGGATTGAACGGGCCATCTGGCTGGCTTCTGCCCTCGGTCAACAGATGTGAAGGCCCAGAGCGGCAGAGCAAGGCCTGTCACTCCCATTTAATAGGCTTAACGGAGCCCCAGAGAGGTCTGTGGGTGCCCAAGGTCACACAGCTCGTGGGTTGCAGAGCTCTGACCCAGTCTCATCACTCCCTTGCGAAGCCCCTGGGCCAGGAACACTGAGGGACAGAGTTAGAGACAGCCGCAGAGAGCACCTAGTATACTGTTTTTTGTTAGTCATTTCCTCGACACGTCAATAATTCTGTGATACCCTTGTACCACCTTTGCCACTATATCGGCATTATTTTTGTTTGTACGTCTGAGTGCCTAAAAATATAGACGTTTACTTAAAAAAGGAAACTTTGTATCACTACCATAAATGGAAAACCGGTGTTACTTTCTGTAAATAGAATGTATGCATTGACACATTAACAAAAATATGTAGCTAATAAAATAATAAACATTCTGCATTTCACCTAAAATCTCGTAAATCACAGTGGTTCCTCAGTGTTTCTTTGGATCCTCCTGTCCTTTTTAAAGTTTTATGAATATTCACCCCATTTTTTCTATAGAGCTGTTATTTTTACACATATTGTGCTGTATTGTTGTTTTTTTAAATTATTGTTCCCTGAGTTGATCTATAGATTTTTTTTTTTTTAAGTGAGTGTCCTTTTTTTATTCTTATACAAAACTCCAAACTAAATGAGATGTTGCAATATTGCAGATGAAAGAGCAGATTGTCACAATATAAACACTAGGGAGTCAGTATTCAGACCTAATTTCTAGTCCAATTCTCTTGCCATGATATATAAATATGAAACATTTTCAAGTCACTTTCACTTTTTGTTTCAGCCTCAATTCCATTGAGTAATAGAGACTTCTTAATTTGCATATTTTGCTTTATTTTTTAAAATAATTTGCATATTTTAAAGTCATGCTCACTGGGATGAAATGGTTTGCCCATTACCACACAGCTAACAAATGATAGAAATAGGCCTAGCAGCCCGGTCTTCTGTTTTCTGGCTCAAATTTTTGTCTCCACATCATGTCTCAAGGTTGCCAAAAATCATACCCATGATTTTTGCCTGAGACCCATCAGTTGGATAAGTGATTCTGGAGGGAACTCTGCCCTCTTTTCCTCTTCCCCATTCCTTATATGACTCTAGGTCTCAAAGGGTCTTCTCTGGTAAGTGTCCCTGACTTATCAGTCCAGTTTCTATTCCAGTGGCCCACTGCCGACCAGCCCTGGTGCACCGTGCCTTCTATGCTTCAGCCCTGCAGCTGAGGTCTTCAAATGAGCAGAAGCAGCAACCTCCTCCCTCTTTTTCTCAGCAACATTCTGAGACACAGGAGGCAGAAGAACCCAATCCAGAGTTTTCTCGTCCACCCCCCAGGTAGGCACTGGAACCCACACCACTCATTTCTGGCCACTTTGCATGCTTGGGTGTATCTGTTCGCCTTCTTCTCTTCTCTATTCTTCCCACCTTGCATCGTTTTCAAGACTATCTTTGGAAGGAACCTATTGGGGGTTTTTTTGTTTTGTTTTAAATAAGTTTTTATTGATTTTTTTAGAGAGAGTAGAAGGGAAAGATAGAAATGTCAGTATGAGAGAGAAACACTGATTGGCTGCCTCCTGCACGCCCCACCACTGGGGATCAAACCTGCAATCTGAGCATGTGCCCTGACCAGGAATGGAACTGGGACTTCTTAGTCCATGGGATGACACTCAGACCATTGAGCCACACCAGCTGGGTGGAACCTATTGTTTTTTAATGAAAATGGTGCCTGTACATTGTAAAACATCTAAAGGATACAAAGAAGTTCACAAAAATAAAGCAAAAATTACCATAAATCACAAACCCAGAAATAACTGCTAATATTCTTGTTAACATCCTTTAGACGTTTCTCTAAGCATATTTCATATATAAACCTATGTATATAATAATGATTAATTACATTAGTGCTGTGGCTCTGTTGGTTGGAGAATTGTCCCATGCACCAAAGAGTCATGGGTTCAATTCCCAGCCAGGGCACATACCCAGGTTGCAGGTTTGATCCCTGGTCAGGGTGCATATGGGAGGCAACCAATCGATGTTTCTCTCTCACATTGATCTCTCTCTCTCTCTCAAATCAATAAAAACATATCCTTGGTTAAAGATTAAAAATAATAATAATAAAGATTAATTACACTATATTTGCTGTTCCAGAACCTGTTTTTGCACTCAGTAGTACATTTTAATGTCTTTTCACAGTCTGTATTATTTTAATAATTACATAATATTTCAGCAAAAGGGGGTACCAGAGTTTATTTAACCTATCTTTTATTGATGAATATTTAGATTTCCTTCACTGATATGAAAAATAATTTTGATGAAGTGTGTGATTCAACAATGGGAGCACTGATTCAAAGGATATGCACGTGTAGCATTTCATTACCTATGTGGGGCCATAGTGCCCTCCAGAAATGTAATAATAATTTAAATTTTCATTGGTTATTTTTTCTTCTCAATCCTCCACCACTGAGAAGTTCCTTTAGCTCTGAAATTAGAGTATTCCCAGTCATTTTTCTGGTCTCCTGATTACAGTACTTTTCATTTCAGTTCAACAAATATTTTTTGAGGATCTGCTTTGTGTGAGGCTCTGTAAATAATATAACCATTGTTTTGGAACTCATGGAATTGCCATCTGGTGCAGATACAGATAAAGAAACTGCTAAAGGCTGTAAACAGGGAAATATGGGGAGCTGTAGGAGCAGGTATCTTCTTATTGTATGACCTCCTCTCTCACTGCTACCCTTCTCTTAGTGACCATATGGGAGGGGAAGGATGATATAATTTCTACTGTGTTGGCATTGCAATACCGATACTGACACAAAAGTAAATGTCCTATCAGTGTGTGCTTAGAGGAGTCACAGAGTTATGGTTTCTGGTCAAACTTATTTTGCATGTGAGGGGGCAGGCAGTGAGATGAGGTGTTCTGGGCTCTGTCCCCATATCTCTCTTGGATTTGGGTCTCAGGTACACAGACCAGGGTGGTGAGGAGGAGGAGGACCATGAGAGTGAGGAGCAGCTGCAGCACCGCATCCTAACAGCAGCCCTGGAGTTCGTGCCTGCCCATGGATGGACAGCAGAGGCAATCGCAGAAGGAGCCCAGGTGTGTATAGGTGCGACTAGGGCAGCCTGACTAAGATCAGCCAGGAGGGAGTTAACATCAGCCAAAGCAGAGGCCTCATGCATCTTCCAACCCAGCTTGGAACCCCTCACCCTCTAAGATTTTCTGTTTTGGCGGGAGTTTCTTTCCCAATAAGGTGGAAATAGATTCATTTTTAAACTTTTTTTTTTAATCCTCACCTGAAGATATTTTACCATATATCATCAGATAGAGTGGGAGGAAGAGAGAGAGGGAGAAAGAGAAACATCGATGTGAGAGAGACACATTGACTGGTTGCCTCCCACATGACCCAACTAGGGCTGGGGATGAACCGCAACCGAGGTACATGCCCTTGACCAGAATCGACTCATTGGTCTGCAGGCTGACGCTCTAACCGCTAAGCTAAACCAGCCAGGGCTAAACTATTTTTTTTTAATATAAAAAGAATATAAGATGGAGTTGGTTCTTGGGAGTTAGATTGTAAAGGTAGCCCATTAAAGAATTGTCTATGATAAAAACTACCATATTTCTTTGACTCTAAGATGCCACTGGTTGTAAGAAGCAACATTGTTTTATGCATCACTAAAAAAGAAAAACACTGCCTTTAAACTCTGACGCATCATCAGTTGTACGATTCACACTGATTGTTTAAAATGAAAAATATGTGCATCTTAGATGATGAAATACAGTGTTTGGAAACTCCCAGGAAGATCGCCCTGGCAGGTTTGGCTTAGCAGTTAGAGTGTCGGCCCGCAGACCAATGAGTCTCGAGTTCGATTTCCGTCAAGGACATGTACCATGGCCCTGGTCGGGGTTGTGTGGAAGGCAGCCAGCCTATGTGTATCTTTCATATCGATGTTTTTCTCTCTCTCTCTCTCTTTCTTCCTCCCTGTCTATCTGAGATAAATGGGAAAATATGCTCGGGTGAGGATTAAAAATTGAAGATCTAGGATTAAATTTGACATTTGAAAATCCTCATTTTGGGTGCTGGATGAAAAATGGATTGGAGGCAGAGAGAGTCATTGGGGGCTGCTGCCAGTAATCCAGGATAAATGAGGGTTTTCTGGCCTAGAACAATGGCAGTGAACGTGGGGACAAGTAGGTAGATTCGGTGATAAAATGGCATAGGAGGGAGTGACAAGAAGGCACCAGAGTTGCCAGTATGCCTGTGTGAGTACGTGTTGGCACTGTTTTCTCAGATTAGGGTCACTGGAAGAGGACAAGGTTTGGGGAAGCATGGGTACAGTTTTGAGCTTTGTTGAGTATGAGGGGTCTTTGGGTCAACCAATGGAAGACTTAAGCATGCAAAAATGAACTATCTGGACTAGAGTATGTTTGGGATGTGTATATATACATATATATACACACACATACATACATGTATATGTAAGTGTGTATATGTGTGTGTGTGTATAGTAATTAAACCATAGAAGGGATGAGATTGCCTAGGTAATGTGAATGTGCCAGCATATAATAATGTGAAAAGAGAGAGAAATGTAGGCCCTCAAGGAACTCTGACATTTAAGGGTGGGGTAGAACAGGATGAGCTGGCAAAGAAGGCTGAGATAGAGTAGCCTGATGTCTGAGACAAAGCAGGAGAATGTGGATTAAGTAACTGGACATTGGTTACTGTAGCAGCAGCCAACTGGGGAAGTACCTGGACAGAAATAATTGAAGGGGGTTTGAGGAATGAGTAGAAGGTCAGGAAGTGGAGAGGCGTTTGGCTGTGAAGGGTGGAAGAAAGCGAGTGTACACCAAGCAGGGGAAATGGATGGAGTTCAAGCATGTCTGGACACTGATGGGAGAGTGCACAAAAAAGGGTGAGGTGAAGAAATAAGAGAAAGTGGCAAAATAAAAAGTATGAAGTTCCTTGCCCTGGCCTGTTTGGCTCATCGGTTAGAGCGTCAGTCAGCTCGCAGACTGGAAAGTCCTGGGTTCAGTTCCCGCTAAGGGCACGTACCTTGGTTGCAAGTTGTCCCCGGCCCCAGTTGGGGTCATGTGGGTGGCAACAACTTGATGTGTCTCTCTCACATCAATGTTTCTCTCTCTCTCTTCCTTCCTTTCTCCCTCCCGCTCTATCTGAAGATAAATGCAAAAATGTCCTCCAGTGAGGATAAAACAAAAAAATAAGTATGAGGTTCCTTGAAGGAAAGAATTACGAGATCTGAAAAACAGGTGGAAGGACTGGAGCTAGATGCGTTAGGGCTGGAGAAAAGCTGCAGGTTTTGTTTCTAGAAGAACAGTAAGGAAGTGTCTAGGAGATGGCTTCTGTGTTCTCTGTGATGTATGAACCTGAAGTTAGGAGAAAGTGGAAAGAGACACAGGTTGGGAAGAAGCAGAGAAAGTTTGAAAGAATTATTACAGAAAGTTGTGAAACCAGTAGAGGACAGAATGTACCAGGATTGTTAAGAAAAATCTGATTATGCTGAATATTCTGTGGTTAACCAGCTTTTTTCACTCTGCATATTTCCACTTACAGTGGCTGCACAATACCTATTTTATTCATTTGAAATAAATTGGTAGACATTTGGGTTTCCAATTTTTTAGTATTATCAACCTATTTGCATGACATTTTAAAGTACATTTCTGGTTGGTTTCTTTAGGACAAATTCGGAGTAGAGTTGCTGTTTCAGAGAGTGTATCCAAGGAGACAGAAACTACACCAGTTATTCCAATAGAGAGAATTTAATAAGTTCACAATAATAATAACAATAAAGAATTGTCAACTCGGTATAGAGTGGGTAAGCCGGGAACTGAGAGGATAGAAAGAACACCAAGATGCTATGGAGGTAGTGACTGCAGGAAGTAGCTCCCATCCCAAGGGCTAGGGAACAAAGGGAGGAGTTGGAATTATTAAAACTAGAAGTTTGCAGGAGAGTCACTGTGGAGGTGACACTCAGACCTCTCAGGAGCAGCTGGTACTGAGGTCTCTAAGTAGGGAGGAAGGGTCCCCTGGGGCTAGCACCCCACCTCTTGGGGGAGGATGGAGTGGAGCAGGTGGGTGGGCAGGGAGAGGATGGTTACTTAATGAACTAGTTCTGCAAGTGTTGGGAAAACTGTAAACATTGCATCACACAACCACTAGGAGACAAATCAGCAGGAAGAAGAAAGCCCCTTCTTCCTCCTGCAGCCTCATGGTCTCCCTCCATCCTCTAGAGACCCTAATAGAGAGCCAGAAATGTGGTTTGCAGAGCCCCAGCCCCTGCATCACAAAGCAGATAATGAAGGGCAGCTTTGGAGCTGAGATAATAACTCAGTAACCGGCCAGAGCATTTGTGTATTTTGGATGTTCCTGTTACACACACATTAGAGGCGGTATAGCCTACTGTTTAAGAGCTTTGGGCCTGAGTTTCCTCATCTGTACAATGTGGGTGATGATGATATCCACCTACTAGGTGCACATAGTAAGGGCACAATCACTGTCGTGTGGATGCTGCTCAGCTCTGATGTTGATGTGAATATTGCTAGATTGCCCTCCAAAAGGGCAGTCACTTCCACCAGAAGAGAGGCACTTTCCCCACTCCCAGTGGTGGGAATTTCAAGTTAATGTTTTTCTTTTTCATTTCTTTTCTGTCTACTTCTGTCAGGGTTCTGCCTCCAGTAGATGCTCGGGGATTGCTGTGTATCGGGAGTAGCAAGTGATTTTTGTGACATCATTAATAACTTCTCGACAACTCATTAAGAAAAGCTTTGTTGTTTTTTTTTTTTTTTTAAACAACTGGGAGACCTAGTTTCCAAGCGATTTAAGTTAAGTGAATTGGTGAGGGAGAGAGTTGTGAGTGCTCTTCCTGAGCCCCTTTTTGTATTAGGACTCCAGGTTACAAGTGTCATAGCTCAACTCCAACTGACTCAAGCAAGAAAGGGAATGTTTTGGCTCGTTTAGTAATAGAAAAGCCTGGAAGTAGCTTGGGCAGTGTTCTTAGATTGTGAAGCTGGGAACTCTCTTTCCAGCATATCTGCTTTGATTTCCTCTCTGACCTCCATTCTCAGCAGGGGCATCCCATGCAGGACTAAGAATGGCTCGGCAGACCCAATGGAAAGAGAGCCCCTCTTTCCCATCAGACTAGCAAAAGTCCCAAGGTGGTCTCTCAAGGCCTGGATTTGGTCATGTGCACATCTCTGAGATGGCGCTGTGAACTCCCATCATCCAAGTCTGTGTCCCATGCTTTGCAACACACCAGGGAGCTTGGTGGAGTGTGGTTAGCTTCACCCAAGTCTCATAGATCAAGAATGAAGAATGGGGTAGCCCTCTGGAAATGAAGCTGCTGTTACTAGAAGGGGCTTCAGTGATGAACAGGCAACACATGTCCACTTACAGCCACCGTTCTGTTTTCCCTCTCCCCTCTGTAGTCTCTAGGTCTCTCCAGTGCGGCAGCCAGCATGTTTGGGAATGATGGCAGTGAACTGATTCTGCATTTTGTGACCCAGTGCAACGCTCGGCTCACCCAGGTGCTGGAAGAGGAGCAGAAGCTGGTACAGCTGAGCCAGGCAGAGTAAGTCCTATGGCACTATAACTCAGGGTGGCAGCTAAGGCTCTGGTGACTCAGGCCCCACTGGCTGTCCCCAGGAGGCCAATCCAAGCAGCGCCAGAAGAGAGCAGTATTGAGCAGTCCTGCTACTTCGATGGGACTGACAGGCAGACACCTGGCTCTGACAGCTGTAGTCAGGCCAGCGTCTGGAGCTAGCCAGACCCTCCTCCCTAGGCTAGCACTGAGCCCATGCCTTTGACCCAGAGACACACTGTTTTCTTTTCCCTTTCCAGGAAGAGGAAGACAGACCAGTTCCTGAGGGATGCAGTAGAAACCAGACTGAGAATGCTGATCCCGTACATTCAGCACTGGCCCCGGGTACAGAGTCCATATCCAGGCCCCAGGGCAACATGTATTCAGATTGATAACTGTCAGCACCTTTCAGATGTTAGCTCACTGTCTCCACAGACCCAGGGATGTTCCGTGCACTTGGCAGAGCTAGGTTTCAGATTTGGGGGGTGCCAAAGAGAGTGACTTGGAGCCCTCTGTGTCTCAGTTCCTGGTGATGTAAGTGGCCTGGGTACTGGATCACATCCTGGGTGGGGTCTGAGTGGTCCAAGTGTGCCTGCAGGTCTTCAGTGAGGAGGAATCCATAAAGGAGGTTAGAAAAGTCAGCAGAGTGTATTGGCCATTGTCATTAACATGCCTATTGTTTTCTATATCTCAGAGGACTGGACTTCTTTTCAAATTGTCAGTGTGATGCTTAAGAATTGGAGTATTCAGCCCTGGCCAGTTTGGCTCAGCGGTTAGAGCGTCGGCCTGTGGTCCGGAGAGACCCGGGTTCGGTTCCCGCTAAGGGCACGTACTTCGGTTGCAGTTTGTTCCCGGCCCTGGTTGGTCGTGCGGGTGGCAGCCACTCGATGTGTCCCTTCACATCGATGTTTCTCACTCTCTCTCCCTTCCTCTCTCTCCCTCCCATTCTATCTGTACAAAAAATGGAAAAATATCCTCAGGTGAGGATAAAAAAAAAAAAAAAAAAAGAATTGGAGTATTCATTCCAAGAGCTTTTCTTCCCTTTTCTGAAGCTTCTTTTTTTGTGTTTCAAAGCATGTCACAGTGTGGGCCATTCTCTCAGTTAGGAAAGTAAAGTCAAAGCACATCAGAAATGAGAGGAACACAGAGATCATCTGGTGTCCTCCACCTAGCCGGGACACTATTGATCACATAATTTCAGTCAGTCAGTTGACAGACACTTGAACACCGCAGGCTGGGTGTGAAGGGAGTATAGCCGAGAGTCGAGTCTGCCCCCTGCCTGTACTTGCCACACTTGATATTCAGACCTGTGGCCTTGACTCATTCCATCTCACAGTTCAAGTGATAAAACAGTGCATTAGGCCCTGGCTGTCTGCTGATTCAGCACATTTCCTTCTGGGCTCCTTCACTAGGAGAAAACTTTCTAGCTAATCCAGGACCTTTCTGTCCAAATCCCATAGACCCCAGCCGAGGATTTTACAGTGGTAAAGTGACAAAACCTTGTACTGTCAGGAGTTGATGTTGGCTAATGGAGGAGTCTCTGGGTTGTGCCATTGCTTGTATTAGTTGAAGGATTTGGTTTCAGGGTTTCAGGTAATAATCACTTGAGTTAAGCAACAAAAAAAGAATGTGGGGAGGAATTCATTGAGGTTGCAATGGGACACCAAGAGCAGGAATGTTACTGGGCCCTGGAAGTGGCCTAAAATTTGGACCCAGAAACTACCTCTTTATTCCCCTCCTATTTCTGCTGCTTCCTCCATGTGACCTCCTCCATTCTTGCTCTCAGTACTCAGACCAGGCCAGGAGGGTAGGATCAGCCCCTGGCTCCTATCAGCTGTGGTCAGGGTTATTGGCTGCCAGGTGGGGGTGGAGAGGTGGGTCTCAGAATGAGAGCTGGGCAGGCCCCCTTACATACCTCAGTGGAGAGGTGAAGCACCAGCCACCTATGCACTGTTTTCACCTGTGTGCTATACCTATCTCTCTCTCTCATTCTCTCCGCAGGCCCTCAGCATCCTCATGCTCCCTCACAATATCCCATCTAGCCTGAGCCTGCTCACCAGCATGGTGGACGACATGTGGCATTACGCTGGGGACCAGTCCACTGATGTGAGTGCTTTCTGCAGGCCCACAGGATATGGGGAAAAGCCTGGGTTAAGCATTTCTTCAAGAAGCTGGTGAAATTTCTTTGATTGTAAAGCCCTTCATGGGGCCTGTAGCATCATTCCCATCCTGGTAAGGAGAGGCTGAGGTATGAGGGAGGGCCCTCAACAAGCCACAGTGGAATCTAGGTCGTCTTCATTAAGGAACCAGTGCTCCAGCCACAAACCAGTGGTCATTCCTTCCGACCTGTATAGTGGTGACACAAGACGTCAGAGGGCCTTATAATTGGGTTACCATTTTATAATCCATTTCCTGGCAGTCTCCTAAAATGTAGATTCTGCAGCAGAATTTCTCAGTGTATTACTTCCATGAGACTGATTTTTTTTAATGCCATGGAGATACCATTGCTTTAAAAAGAAACTCCCACACCAAGCCAATCTTGGCCTGCTTTGCTAAGAGATCAATAAGCCTTTAAACAGGCACAGGAAAGAATGTAACTTGTTAATGATATTTATTTCTGTTTAGGAAAATTTTTTAAAAGTATACCTTCATAAAAAGAAATTAATATCCAGACTAGGGAGGCAAGGAGATACTCCTACCACAGTTCTAACATAGTGCTTTAATAAACATACCCTGTGGGAATATAGCAGCAACAGAGATGGTAGCAAAATGAAATTAGAAGGCAAAGAAATTAAAAGAATAAAACACAAAGCAGCTGAGCTAGTGTTCTGAAGGACAGTTTGCCAGGACAGTTGGAGTCGCTAAAGGACTTGCTCTCTCAGCTTTTCCTAGATGTTCTAATCTGTCCATGGTTCTGTCTCAGCCATCACTTTTCTAGTGAACACACCAAGGTTTGGTCACAACTGGCTGATTGCAGAGCCTCCCTGGGACTCAGATGTCCTAAAACTTATTCTTTTCACCAGCAGTTCCAAAAAGGACCAGATGTAGCAAAGTCACCTGAGATGCTTAGTAAACATCAAGACTCCTGGCACTTACTTCAAACCCCCTGACTCCAAACTCTTAAGAGGTTAGGCCTAGGAGCTTGCTTTTTTTTTTTTTTTTAAATCCTCACCAAGGATATGTGTTTATTGATTCTTAAGAGAGAGAGAGACATCGATGTGAGAGAGAAACATTGCTCTTGCCTTCCATATGTTCCCTGAATGGGAATAGAACCCGAAACCTTGGTATGTGCTCTGATCAGGAATTGAACCAACCCCCAACCAGCTGAGCCATCCAGCCAGGGTGGGAGCCTGCAGTTTTAATCTCCCAGGTCATTCTAATGCACAGCCACGTTTGGAAACAGTAGTGTTGTCCAGAGGGCCATATGTATCTGTGAGGAAAAAGAAATCAGGAGGAAGTCCATGAGTGCCAATGGCTTTGGGTAGAAATCACCCCCAGTTGCCCCCAGCCCTCCACAGCAATAGTGGTGACCCACCTGCCTGGGTGGGTTTCTTTGCAGTTCAACTGGTACACCCGCCGAGCTGTGCTGGCTGCCATCTACAACACAACAGAGCTGGTGATGATGCAGGACTCCTCCCCAGACTTCGAGGACACTTGGCGCTTCTTGGAAAACCGGATTAACGATGCAATGAACATGGGCCACACTGCCAAGCAGGTAGTGGGGGCTAGCCATTTAGGAAGCCTCCTTGCTAGGCACACCATCCTCCTCAGGTCATAGTTGGGCACTGTTTGTTCTCTTGCTGCCCTTTGGCCTTAGCTGACAGTCCTGAGGGCCCTCTCAGGGGGCCTGGCTAGTTCTTTTTATACCAGCCCTTCCCCAAGAGCCACACTTTGCCCATTTGTGTTGTGTTATCTATAGGCTCTTCCTCCAATACACAGGCCCTCTTGGCTCTACCTGTTGGAACTAATAGACCTGCTGGTTTGTCCTGTCTTTCCTTTGAGCTTGTTGTGGGGGTGCTTAAGAAAACCTGACTCTTGACTCCTTCTAGGTGAAGTCCACTGGAGAGGCACTGGTGCAAGGACTCATGGGTGCAGCAGTCACGGTGAGTACTTCCTAGCTCATCCCTGCCCTCCCCCATCCCATTCTGGTCCTGTGCTCCTTATTTATTTATTTTTTTAAGTGTTTTTTTTTTTTATCCTCATCCAAGGACATTTTTGCATTTATCTTCAGATAGAGCGGGAGGGAGGAAGAGAGAGAGAGAAACATAGATGTGAGAGAGACACATCAACTGGTTGCCACCCACACAATCTCAGCCGGGGCTGAGGACAAACTGCAACCGAGGTATGTGCCCGTGCCCTTAGCGGGAACCCACCCTGGGACTCTCTGGTCCGCGGGCCAATGCTCTAACTGCTGAGCCAAACCGGCCAGGGCCTGTGCTGCTTATTTAATGTATCACTCACCCCAAGTAGTTTTGTAGCCTTATACTGGAAAGCTAGTAATGAGACTGACAGTGGTTCAGTCTCAGTCTCTTGATTCCAAATATCTCACCTTTTAATTTTTTACTAGCTGATCTATGTATCGTAGCCACGTGTGCTGCCTTGAAAATCCTTATCTTTCCCATTGGAGTCCTGGGGTAGGGCAAGGCCTCAGCACTCTCTCTGTTTCTGTCCCTTTATCAGCTCAAGAATCTGACAGGTCTAAACCAGCGCCGGTGAACAAGAAGAGGTATGAGCTAGAGTGCCCAGAAGAAAACCTGCGAATATATTTAAAGGACATTGAAAAGTACAAAGTGCCATCCACAGGACAGGGTTTAATGGGGAAACACTAAAGGACTCCTAAGTCACTACCACAGCCACCAGAGAACCATAGGGCACTTGATGATACAGTTGTAGCTTGGGACTGGGCCACTTCTTCAGTTCCTAGTACCAAGCCTGGCTTCCTGATGCCTTTCTGCATTGCAGCTGTGTGATTGAAAAATGGCTCTCATCCAAGTATTCAAGCCACAGAAACCCAGCACGTCCCTGTCATGGTCTCACGGGCACCTTGATCATATCTTAATTCTCCTAGAAATGCTCTCTGGGACTCCCAAGTCAGAGTCAGAGAATCTGAAGCTACCCCAAGTGGCAGCTGATCCACAGCACAGGCACTTGTAACCAGAGGCATTCCTTGCAGCCATTTCCTCTCCAGCATCCTGAGATACTGTACCTGGGACCCCCTCAGAAAGCTGCCCACCTGAGACTGGTGCCTACTGGACAGTGGTTCACAGCCCAGCCAGAGCTGGGGTGTCAGGCCTGGTGTTGCATTACACCAGTGTGTGTGGCAGGATTATTAGTGAACTTAGAGTCTATAAAAATAATAATAAATATGTTTGAATCAGTTTCCTGTTGTGTAGTTTTCATACAGACCATGGCAGGTATCCAAGACCCCAGAGAGAGCAGTGTTGTGAAAAGCTTGAGGCTTGCAGTCAAGTGACTGGAGTTCTGGTTCTGGTGCTGCCTAATACTAATGGGCAATATGACAGCTCTTCATCTCTGGGCCCAGACTTCCCATCAGTAAAAAGTGAGTGATAGGGGCCATCCCCCTCAGCATCCTTTGGCTGCTCTTGTCTTTTGCTAATCATTTCAATCCTTAGCTTTAATAATTTCCTTGGCCTCTCCCTTTGCAAGTCTGGTTAACTCTTGTATTGGCCAACTCAGGCTGCTATAACAAAATACCACAGATTGGGTGGCTTAAAAATTAGACATTTATTTCTCACAGCTCTGGAGGCTGGGAAGTCCAAGATCAAGGTGCCAGGCAGTTTGGCTCCTGATGAGGGCTTTCTTCCTGACTTGCAGATGGCTGCCTTCTTCTATTTGTGTTCTCACAGGGCAGAGAAAGTACTGTTGACTCTTCCTATTCTTGTAAGGGCACTGATATGAAGGTTCTACACTCATGACCTCCCAAAGAACTTCAGATATCACAATAAAAGTTAGAACTTCGAGATTTTAAGCAGACATAATTCCGTCCATAGCATGTGTCTTCTGCTTCTACCTAAGTCAATTGAATATTGGGGGAAGTCACAAGCTAACGAATTTTTTATGTCTTTTGGCAGGCCTTCCACTGGTCTCTTTTGGCACCTGTCTAATTCTTTTTATCTCAACACCTTGTCAGGTTCCCTGTGGTAGCTATTCCAAATTTTATTCCATTCTTTCCTTTATCCTTAATAGCATCTCTCTGGCTCAGCAGACAATTGCTGCCTTCTCTATCTCAGGAAGATGTGTCACTCCTTGCTAACACAAGTTCCTCTTCATCTCTTCTAATTACTCTTCTGCCCACTAAATGGAGCCTCCCCTCCCAAGTTCTATTTTAGGGCCTCTTTTTACTGTGGGAGCAGCTGCCACCTTTTTGAGGCCCATTCAAACCTCTCCAGGCTGTTCAGGGAATTTTGGTCATTTTTTTATTGAGTATTCACCCAATGAGACACACACTGGCTGGCACTGAGAATGCAGAGATGAAAACTTCCCCTCCCACCCAGTGCAGCTACACAGAACTACAGATGATGCTTTAAAGAGCATTGTATCTTCCTGCAGGTTGAGAAATACATGATCTAGGCTTGAAAGGGAAAGGGTACATACCTACCATTCAAATATATTTTACCTAAAGTATACTTTTGTTTCTCCAAAATGTACAAACTTCATTCTTTTTATTTTTTTAAATATATTTTTATTGATTTTTTTTTTTAGAAAGGAAGAGAGAGAGGGAAACATCGATGTGAAAGAGAAACATAAATCAGCTGCCTCATGATGCACACTCCCCACTGGGGATCAAGCTGCAACTCAGGCATGTGCCCTGACCAGGAATTGAACCTGGACCTCTCAGTCCATGGGACCACGCTCAATCCACTGAAGCATAACAGCCGGGCCAAACTTCATTCTTTTTAAAGACGTCATAGTATTCCTGTGTTTGTATATTTCACCAGGTCTCTCAATGGATAATTACTTTTGTTTATTTTTCAGTGTTACAAACCATGTTGCAGTGATGGTCCCTGTAAATGCATTTTGCTTACAACTTTAAGTATTTCTACAGAGTGAATTCTTGAAAGTGTTATTGTTGAGTCAAGGATGTATGTATGCCTAGCGCGTGTGGCTCAGTGGTTGAGCATTGACCTATGCACCAAGAGGTTGAAGATTCGATTCCTGATCAGAGAACATGCCCAGGTTGTGGGCCTGATCCCCAGTGGGGGACATGCAGGAGGTGGCCAGTTGATGTTCTCTCTCATCGATGTATCTCTCTCTCCCTCTCCCTTCCTCTCTCTTTAAAAATCAATAAAGAAAAAAAAGGATGTATGCATGTTTTACTAAATCACCATCCAAAGTGGTCAAACCTGGTGCATTTAAAACAAGTGGTGGATGTCTGGCCGATGTGGCTCAGTGGTTGAGAGTCGACCCATGCACCAAGAGGTCGCTGGTTCGATTCCCAGTCAGGGCACATGCCCAGGTTGTGGGCCCAATTCCCAGTGTGAGGCATGCAGGAGGTGGCCAGTCCATGTTGTCTGTCATTGATGTTTCTACCTCTCTCTCCCTCTCACTTCCTATCTCTCTCTAAAATCAAAGGAAAACAAACAAAAATAAATAAAACAAATGGTGGCTAGAAAACAGCGGGCCCCGAGCAGTCCCGGCCTCCGAGCAACAGATGGCGCTGTGGGAGCGCTTCCGAAGAGGCGGCGGTGGCCGCACTCACCGACTTCCGGCAACTTCCGGTGCCGCGGCGCGCCGCGGAGCTGACGCCGGAGGCTGTCCGGCCGGCGGGGCGCGATGCCGTATGCCAACCAGCCCACCGTGCGGATCACGGAGCTTACCGACGAGAATGTCAAGTTCATCATCGAGAATACGGACCTAGCGTAAGGCTGCTGAAGGGAGCGCGCGGCGGCTCTGGAGCGCCGGGCTTCAAGCCCAGGGACGCGGGGGGCGAGGTGGTGTCTGCAGGCCCCTGTGCCATGGCTTTCACTTTGGGAGCCTGGGGACGCGGGATCGGCATGTCGAGGCTGCGGTGCCCTCACTCAGCTTGGTTTTCATCCCTCAGGGTGGCCAATTCTATTCGAAGGGTCTTCATCGCTGAAGTACCCATAATAGGTAAGCGACCCCCGCCTCCTGGTAGGCAGGACCACGGATTCCCCCTAGACTCAACCAAGCCCCCGGACTCCCACCACCACACACACCTGGGGCTTCTACCTCCAGTCCTCGGTTGGGGCGGGGCAGGGGCGGGGGGGGGGTGTCTGAGGAAACAGCCACCTCCCTGGCTCCCTCGGGCCACTCACACTTAAGTCCACCTTGGTAAGAGAGCGTGGGTGCAGGAGTCTGCGAACTTGGTTCGAGTACTGTTTTCACTTCTTGTGTCTGTGAAACTTGGGCAAGTTTTTAAACTGTGGACTGTAGTTTCCTCTAACTTTGGGAAGCTAGTACGTGTGAGGGGGATAACAAGGATTAAGTGAGGTCATCGCTATTAAGTGCCTTGCGTTCCGGGAGTGTTCAGTGCCAGTAGGTGTCTTTTTATGAATATTTCTTCAGCTGCGTTTATGGAACATACAAGTACAGGCGGTGGCTGGGCACTGGGAATGCAGAGCTGCATAGTGCAGGGGTCTTGCACTCATGGAGCCCACAGTGAACTTGCAGGGGAAAGAAGAGTCCACAGACAGCACTAATGCAAGGTAGCCATGTTCCAGTAGTTCAGGAGAAGCAGAGCCCCAGTGTTGTTGGAGCTTAGAGGAGGGAAGATCTGTTTTTGCTGTAGTTCCAGCGTGATGCTACAGGTATTTTGCGCATTTACAAATATACAGTTCTACAAATATTTTCTGAGTGTCAGCTTAGAGAGTTTGGGTTAGGAAAAAAATAAGAAACATAAGTCATCTGCTGCAGCAGGTGTGCCGACTCCTAAGGAAATGAGCAGGTCAAATAATTGGTAAACAGGAGGACATTGTAGTTTATCCATCACCTGCACCTCGAGTCACTTCAACTCAGAGCTTGGTGTGCTGGTCCTCCCTCTGCCTAATCACTCCATGTCTCTGGGCCTCAGTTTCATCATGAGTGAAATGAAGGAGTTGTACTTCTTAAAAATATATATATTTTTTATTGATTTGAGAGAGGGGAGGGGAGAGGGAGAGAGAGAAATATCGGTGAGAGAAACATCGATCAGCTGCCTCCTGCACGCCCCCTACTAGGGATCCAGCCTGCAACCCAGGCATGTGCCCCAATGGGAATCAAACCAGTGACCTCTTGGTGTACAGGACAACGCTCAACCTACTGAGCCACACTGGCTAGGCAAGGGAGTTGTACTTTATGATGCAGCCTTAACATTCCAAATGTAAATATCACATTTCCCACAAAATTCAGTTCTGCAAATAATTGAGAACCTTCTGCGTTCTAGGCTACAGCGAGGAATACAAAAGTTAAGACATCTCAAGACCTCGTCCCAAGGAATTTTCAAAGCTTGAGGTAGAAACAAGACATGCATAAATGTAACACAAGACACAATATGACAAAAGTCTTAAGAGAAGTCTGGATAGAATTTTGTGAGGGAAGAGCTTACAGGGAGGGAGTAACTGCATCTATATTGTGGAGGCTCAGAGGATTTTAACCTGCACTGGAGAGGGTAATAGCATGCCAGAGGAAAGGGCAGGGATCATAAAGGGGCAGAGTCAGAAAAGGCTGGCTTATGGTCCTTATTTAACTTTGGTTGAGGGAAGCAAGAGGAACCGTAGAACAATGCAGGCTGGGGCCTGGCTGTGTCTGGTCCTCCTGACCTCCATTTCTAGTGTCCACACCCCTTATTTGGCAGGTGGGCTCCAATGCCATTTGCTTTATGAATTTGTTTACACAAAGGTAACGAACGAATGAATGAATGTGTACCTAAGCCAAGTGTGTGTGAGCACATAGTCCTTCCCCTCCTAATTAGCTCATTGCTGGTAGGGATTGAATTTTATACTTTTAGTATATACCTTGCCAATTAAAGGAATTCTGTAGTCTGGCCGATGTGGCTCAGTGGTTGAGCATCGACCCATGCAGCAAGAGGTCGCCAGTTCAATTCCCGGTCTGGGCACATGCACAAGTTGTGAGCCTGATTCCTAATGGGGGGCGTGCAGGAGGTGACCAATCAATGTTCTCTCTCATTGATGTTTCTATCTCTGTCTTCCTGTCACTTCCTCTCTCTCTCTAAAAATCAATAAAGGAAAAAAAATTTAAGGGAATTCTGTAAACATTGGTTGATTGAGTGATAATGAGGTATTAATAAAGGATAATCTGGTCATTATACCATAAAATGAGATGTGGACTCGAAGTCTGTGTTACTTTCCTCTGAGGTTTTCCCTAAGATTTAAATACCCAAATAGTTTATGTTCTTGGATGTGGTGTTGGCATGATTAGCAAATATAATTGCTTCCCACAGAAATACTCAGCTCAAAAAAGCATGTTCCTGCTCTAAGGAGCATGTACTATCTGTACTATTCTTTAAGTCATTGTTTTTTTCTGTCATACAGGGAATCCTCTGCATTAAACCCTCCTGAGTAGGGAAGGAGAGTGTGGTGTATGTGGTTTTTGTTAAAATGCAGGTTCCTGGTTCATATTCTAGAGCTGTGTGAATCAGAGTCTGGCATCCTGGCCCAGGCCTCTATAATTTAGAAGTATCAGATGATTACTAAATCTTGCCAACCATGGCTCTAAGCCTTTTAGGTAAATTTGATGGCTAAGCTCCATGTCTGCTTCCTTCACTTTTTAGCCATTGACTGGGTTCAGATTGATGCCAATTCCTCAGTCCTTCACGACGAGTTCATTGCTCATAGGCTTGGTAAGTGCTGGGTGTGGGAAGGTGAAAGGAAGGGGGCTGTGCCTGGTGTCAGAGAGGAAGCCTCACTTCCAAGGGGACTTCTGGGTTCTCCTTTTGGCTTGGCCTTCTTAAAAGTGCTTTTCCGTGTCTTCCAGGATTAATCCCCCTTACTAGTGATGACATTGTGGACAAGTTGCAGTACTCCCGGGTATGCTGGGTGATTGGGTGGAACGTGGGGCAGGGGAGGCGGGGGACTTCAGTTCTCAGAAGGATTTTCCTGACATCTTGCTTCTAGCCTTTAGAAAGACAATATGGTGATGTTGTTTAGAGCCCAAGGCAGGCATTGGTCCTTGGTTTTGATGGGCCTCAGATTGATTAGTCTCACAGGGCATCAGGGAGTCTCTTTAGCCAGTCACACAAGAGGGGGTATACACCAGAATGCCCGTGTATACCAAACAGGAAAGCTGATTCATTTCAGAGTCTGATCTGTTCAGATTCTGCTTTCCAGAGCATCTCTTCCTAGTGACAGGGACCTAAGAGGCTAAAGGGAGTCAACAGAAGGTTGGGGAGGGGGGAGGACAGGAGAGGGAGTGAGAACTGTCCCATAGAGCAGTACCGGAGGAACTGTCATAGTGTCTGCCAGACTTGTGACTCATCCCATAGGTGATGCTGTTAAACCTGGCCCCCTTCCTCCAGGGCTGTGTTTACCCTTCCATGATAGGCTGGCAGGCCTCAGACTAGGGAGAAAATAGGACAGGATAGGTTACCTGCATCCCTTCATCAGGACTGCATTACGTAATAGCTTGAGACTGTTCCCTCTTGATGGATTTGGATGGTCCTGAATTAGCCCATCTTCTACTTCCCAAGGGCATGCCATTTTTATGGTGGCCAATTTGATATGTCCTACAAATATACATAGTTTCAAAGAACTATTCAAGTGAAGTTTGGAGCTAATATAACACATACTCATGCTCCCACCAAACAACTTGTCACATTTTAACATTTTTCCATATTTGCTTCACATTGCCAAATTTTTGTTTTTAAGAAATCACAGATATTGGTGGGGACAGGTGTATAGCCAGTTGAAGAGGAGTTTGGCAATATCTTGCTTAAAGATAATGAATGTCCTGTGGCCTAGCAATTCTTTTTTGTTGTTGTTGTTGTTTATTAAAATACATTTTAATTTCAAAATGTAATAGAATCTACAGACCTCCTGTATACATTTTTGGGGGACACCGTTTACATAAAAGATAGGATTGTAAGCAGGGACTATTGGAATAAGAATAGGCAATGGAAAGTAAAATAAAATAAAATCAATGATCATGAAACAAAAACTAATTGGCATAAGAAATAGCCCTGGCCAGTGTGGCTCAGTTGGTTGAGCATCATCCCCTGTACAAAGATGTCACTGGTTTTACTCTAGGTCAGGGTACATGCCTGGGTTGTGGGATCAATCCCCAATTGGGGGCATGCAGGCGGCATGATTTCTCTCTCATGATCCATGTTTCTCTCTGTCTCCCCCTCACTCTCTCTCTCTAGCATCAATAAAAACATTAAAAAAGAAATACAGAATAAACATACCATCAAATTTTGCTGAGAAGATAAATCATTCAAAAAATATAGCAAAGGGGGCTTCATCCATGATGTCAGAGGACAGTGTAAGAGGCTGGAGTAAAATCTACTTGACTAAGTGTTCCTTCGAGTTTATTTTCCATGATTAGCTGCAATAACAAATGCTTTTCATCCTGTACTTCATCACTCATGAAGTCAGTACACCACGAGATAATCTGCACTCTGTTATATTAATAGTTCCCTTTATACCTTCCTCTATATTCATTGTTTGCAAACTCTGACTTTTTTTTAAAATTATTTTTGTTACAGATGTTTCTCCTTTTTCCCTCACTGAGTCCCCTAGCAATTCTTTTCATTAAACTTTTTCTAGTGTTACATTTCCTGAAAGATGATATAGTCTTTTTTTTTTTGCTTTTCTGAACATCTACAGAAAAGTTGAAGAAACAGAATAATAAATTCCCATTTACTTTTGACCTTTAGTCACCAATTGTTAATATTTTGCTACATTTGCACATATGTATATATGTATGTATGTGTGTGTGTACATATATATATATATGAACTATTTGGAAGAAAGTCTCAGGTACGTGACCCTTCCCCTGCCTACTTCAGCGTGCATGTCCAAAGAATAGTGATATTTTCCCAAAAAACCACATTGTTAACATGCCTAAGAAAATCAGCACCAATTTGTAATAACTATGTCCAGTCCATATTCAAATTTTCCTAGTTGTCCCCCAAAATGTCCTTCATTGTTTTTTGTTTGTAGGTATGTGATTCAGTAAGATTTATATATTGCATTTGGTTGTTCTACCTCTTTAGTCTTTATATCTCGACTAGACTCCAGACTCCTCCTGTCATACTTTTTTTTTTTTTTAGTTTGAGTGCCTTTTCCTATTTTTATTTTTCATTACATTTTGATTCTTCCATTTAGATTTCTAAGAATGAGTCAGTCTTGCAGGTCTAGGTCACCTTTCCACCTCACCTGTGTGTGACTGCTGACTGTCCACGTGTGGCCTCTGGTTCTCCCTCATTGACTCCAAAACATCAAAAGCAGGGTGTATTTTCCTCGCTGGTGTGAGGGGAGAACAGTAACCTTGATTACGTTCTAATAACTTCTTGCCTGAAGTTAAACTGTAGCAGATAGTACCTAACAGGGAATGGGATTTTTAAGAATAGCAAGCTGTTGATAATTCTTGAAGCTGAGGGATGGTTACAGTCTATTATACTCTTCTTGGCTTTTGTGAATGTATGAAATTTTTCATAATGGTCAATAGCCTAGAATTTGAAAGGTACTGTTTTGAATAGTTTTCTTTATTTCATTTTAACTGATTCCATTCCTGAGCTAGTCCACTTAGTTCATGGGAAGCTGAACTAGAGGATTGGTGCGGTTCTCTGGGGAAGAGCATTCCCAGGGCCAGGCTGAGATATGAGCAGTGCATGTCCCAGTGGCCCTGACAGCTGGTGGGTGTGGAAGGAAGCATGGGTGTCAGCACCTATGGGTTGTCTCTAAACTGGGAAGTGCCTGCATTTGAGAAGGTTACCAGATTGATACAGTTCCCAAGGGCCTGAAGATGGGTCAGCCCCATTCCAAATGAAGAACTGTAAGGAACTGGGGATCAGAAGCAGGGGGTTCAGGATCCACCATCTGTCTGTAGACTCATTCCTGCTTTCTTCCTGCCTCAGGACTGCACTTGTGAGGAGTTCTGCCCAGAGTGCTCAGTGGAGTTCACTCTTGATGTGCGGTGCAATGAAGACCAGACTCGTCATGTCACGTCTCGAGACCTCATCTCGAACAGCCCCAGGGTCATTCCAGTCAGTGTCTAAGGACAGCCTCCCTGCCCAGAACCTTTGCTCTTCTTCTGCCTCCAAGTGGGCCAGACTGGGGTGGATTCTTCCCTCTCACCCTTGGTGCCTAGAAGTGCTCATTCTGGACCCCTGCCAGGGTGGGCGGAGGATTGTTGTTGCCCTGTGTCCCGTCACCCCAGGACCCTTTTAAAAGACCACAGTACTGTTTTGACTGAGGGCTGTCACAGAGCCGTGAAGTAGTCACCAGCACAGATTGGGTCCTAGTAAGCACTCCTGCCCCCTCGTCCCCAGCTACCCTGTCCCTGGTTGGGCCGGTTTCAATCTGGAAGTGCTTGCCAGAAGTGACTGGGAGATGAGCTGCTAATAAATGTCTCTGTTCGGGCTCCATGCAGGTGACATCCCGGAACCGAGATAATGACCCCAATGACTACGTGGAGCAGGACGGTAAGGGGATGGAGTGAGTGCAGATGTCTACCTGACCTGCTGCTTTGTGGAACAGCAAGGAGGCAGTGACCAGACACAGTCTGTCACGCTGCCTGGTCTCCTCAGCTGGCCTTTGGTCCGTTTTTCTAGATGTGTGTAGTCTTCAGTGACACTCCAGGCAGAATGTAGGAGGACTATGCCTCTCCTGGCCCCTTGGCTGACCCGTGCCTCTCCCCACAGACATCCTCATCGTCAAGCTGCGAAAGGGCCAGGAGCTGAGACTTCGAGCCTATGCCAAAAAGGGCTTTGGCAAGGAACATGCCAAGTGGAATCCGACTGCAGGGGTGGCTTTTGAATATGATCCCGACAATGCCTTGAGGCACACAGTGTACCCCAAGCCAGAGGAGTGGTAGGTTCCAGCTGGGAATGACGGCGGGCAGTTACAGTGGATGGGTGGACATGGCTCCTTGTGACTGAGATGGGCAGGCTCACTTTGGCACAGGTGCCCAGAAGCAGCGGTAGTAGCCCTGTGCTGGCTGACCTATGTTTGATCGCAGGCCCAAGAGTGAGTACTCAGAGCTGGATGAGGATGAGTCACAGGCTCCCTATGACCCCAATGGCAAGCCAGAGAGGTAAGAGCCCCGGCCAGCACTAGAAGGTAAAGTGTGTAAGAATGTACAGTTTGGGTGCAGGCTCTGAGTCAGGGTGACTGTTTCCCTCACATTCCGGGGCTGATGACTGCTGAACCCAAGCTGGACACATTCCCTTTTAGTCACTGTGAAAAAGAGGGGCCTCCAGTTATCCAAGCTGTTCCTATTCTGATTTTCAACCTCCAAAGAAGGGATCAACCCAGGACCAGAAACTGACTAAAGTCTTCTAGTGATAAACATGGAGATGCTGGCCCATGCAACCCACTTACTGTGTTCTGCTTTCTCCTCTGTGTGGGATACAGCTGTATGGAAGTGTTCTAGGGGTTTCACAATATCTTTTTGAGGTGGCTATAGCCTCTTTGAGGTTGTGTAAAGAGTACTGTTTGTAAGAGGACGGAGGTCAACCCTGGGGCATGGTTGAGTTCCTGGTAGGAAAGGGGTCAAGCAAGACGCAAAGGAGGCAGGGTGGCCCTGGCCGGTTTGGCTCAGTGGTTAGAGTGTCGGCCTGCGGTCCAGAGAAACCTGCGTTTGGTTCCCACTAAGGGCACATACCTCGGTTGCAGTTTGGGCTCTGGTTGGGTTGTGTGGGTGGCAGCCATTCGATGTGTCCCTTTCATGTCGATGTTTCCCTCCCTCTCTATCTGAACAAAAAATGGAAAAATGTCCTCGGGTGAGGATAAAAAAAATCGGGTGGCCCTGGCTGAAGCTCAAGCTAGCTGGTCTCTTGGGGAGGGCTCTCACTGGACTCTCCCCTCAGGTTTTACTACAACGTGGAGTCCTGTGGCTCTCTGCGCCCTGAGACCATCGTCCTTTCAGCCCTGTCTGGATTGAAGAAGAAGCTGAGTGACTTACAGACCCAGTTAAGCCATGAGATCCAGAGTGACGTGCTCACCATAAACTAGCCGCAGCTCATCTGCTTCAGCAGAAAGGGATCCGAGCAGCAGCTGTTTTCAGGTCTCTCCTGAGGCTTCTAGCTTCTGGGGTCTGGACAACTGTCACTTAAACATTCTGGCAAGCCATCAATACCAACTAGGGCAGCGGTTCTCAACCTGTGGGTTGCCACCCCTTTGTGGGTCGAACGACCCTTTCACAGGGGTCACCTAAGACCATCAGAAAACACATATTTCCGATGATGATTCATAACAGTAGCAAAATTACAGTTATGAAGTAGCAACGAAAATAATTTTATGGTTGGGGGTCACCACAACATGAGGAACGGTATTAAAGGGTCGCAGCATTAGGAAGGTTGAGAACCACTGAACTAGAGAGTAGCAAAGGGGAAGAGTAGGCCCATCCCAGCTTGCTTGGTCACAGGGGCATTACCAGGGGTGCCACTGGTATTTGAGGCAGGACGGTCTTACTGGACATTCAGCATCCCTGGCTCTGCCTGCTGATTGCCAGTCGTCTTCCCAGAATCCAGACCTCCCCCATTTCCTGATTTTCCTGTATTGCTCGAACTACTTTCCTATTGAAAACCACTGTACCTAGACCCTCCTCTTTTGGTCATTTCAGCTTTTTACTTTCTGTCCAAAAATTGGTATTTTCATAGTTGTATCTTAGATTTCTGGTGTTAGGATTGAGTGCTAGGACTCATTCAGGCTGCCTACAAACCCAGTCCCTGCCCAGGGTCAGCCTACACTCCCCTGATATTCCCGAGTGTCCTTAATTTGAGAACCCTTAGAGAATAGTGTTAGACCCTGGCTGCCCCCTCCCCAACCCCCTGCAAATAAACCATGTATTTTATTCTCTTTCCATCATTTATGACTTCACTGCCAATGACCTGCTTATTTAGTTTGGGATGGGAAGGGGAGGAGAGTGGGTGGCCAAGGGTCTTAATGAAGGTCTGGCCTTAACCCATCAGTCCTGTAGGTAGGAGCATACCCAAAGCAGTTAATTAGGCAGCCTGGCAGGAGGAGTCTGGAGAAAACCAGAGATACAGCACAGAAGGAAGGGATATTTATTAACAGTAGAGCTTTTATTTTTGGCAATAAAGAGCACAACATAATCTCCTTCATGCGTCATCGTGCCACTAGCTGAGCCAGCCAGCTCTGCCTCCCCCTCCAAGGCCTTGGGCCTGGCTCTCTTCAGGCTAGCTTCTTCCTCTGGTGGCCATTCCCTGCGTCAGCTTTGGAGCTGAGCTGGCAGTGGCCACCTCCCTGGCTGCAGGGCTCTGCTGGAGGAGCCTCCTGCTTTATCATCCCCCCACCACAACTTGAATAGTGGTTATTTACATCAAGGTAACAAGTTCTGTTCCCACAAATCAGAACCCTAAAGTATTAAAAAAAAAATCAAGCAACTAAAGGTTTGATGTGGATAGAAAGATAGCCCTTCTGCCCAGTAGTCAATAATACCAGCACTAGAAAATCAATTGCTTTAATTGCATCTCAGCAGGGAGCCTCAGCACCATGTGGGGAGGAGGAAACGGCAGGGCTGGTTTCTGAGTGCTTTCTGGCCAGAGGGTGGCCAAACTGGAGCCCCTCTGCAGGGGCACTGTCTGTCCTGGGTCAGTGAGAGGGGGCGGCAGGGGAGCTCCCCACAGCAGTCCTGCCGCGGCCTTCCCCCCTGGACTGGCCATCCTGCCCAGGCTGAGGTTACCAGCACTTCTGCCCACAGGGTATCTTCTCAGCCTACAAAGCAGGAAGGAGCCTGGGCAGAAACTTTCTTTTTCAAATCAGATTTTCACCTGAGGTGGCAACCAGATGTCACCAAAGTGGCACAGTATAAGTCCTTCCTGTGCCACTAGGCCCAGAGGAACTGATTAGCCACCTGCTGTCTTAGCCCTTGGGCTGCCTGGGCAGAGCCAGCTGTCAGTGCGCCAGCCTTGAGTTCGACTGTCTCCCTCTGGTCCCGGCAGCTCAAGAGAGTCCTGGCAGCAGGAGGGCTGTACCACGGAGGACATTCAGAACCAGCCTTGACTGGCCTGGTCATGGAATTTAAAAAATGTGTACGTGATGGCAGGGAAGGATGGGGAGTCTCATTAATATAGGATATGTCATAAGCCATATATATTAAAACCATTAACAATATATAGTCCCATGTCAGCGCCAGCCCCTCACACATGCTCAGGTGGTATGGCCAGCCCTTTGCCCTGGTCCAGCCTCACCCTTGGGGGCAAGGAAGGGACAGCTTGCTCCTTTTCTCCAGGCTCTTAGCCAATAGCCCCTTGAGGCTGTCCACAGTATGTTGCAGTCAGCCCTACAGTGGGCAGCCCAGTAGTCATCAGTGCACACCAGCCCTTCTGTCACTGGGCTGGGGTCTTGGCCTCACTGCTGTCCCCCTGGCTGGGCTTTGGCTTTAGTAGGATGAATCTGTTGAGGAGGTCCGTTTCTGAGCTGGCCTGAGGTGCCCCATACCCCTCACCTGTGGACACAGAGGCAGGCTCAGGACTCCGGTCCAGGTCGAGAGATCTCTGCCCAGAAGGCCTTGTCTTCCACAGAGCCTTGTGGCAGGTGGCTGTGGGACACTGCAGGGACTCACCGGCATAGCTGGAGGCCTCGGCAATGTTCTGGGAGCCTGTGATGTGGTGCCAATAGGCACTGCGGGGCAGCATGGTAGTGGGCGTGCAGGGGTAGGAGTAATGTTCTGTGCCCTTGTTCAGCAGCTGTGGGCCAGAGAAAGAGTCCCTCCCATTAGCCCTGGGGGCAGTGGCTTACCCCCAAGCAGCCAGCCCAAGACCCTGCCTACCTCTCCTGGGCACAGTCCCAGCACTCAGCCTGCCTGCCCATCAGCCTCCCCTGAACCCTGGGCCAAGATGCCTGCTGCCTCACCCTCACATTCTTCTCCATTTCCAGCAGGACCCGCTTATGCTGCTCGGCGATGGCCAGGGTGGCACTGTGGACCCGCTGGTAGATCTGTTCCCCTTCCTGCGTCTGGAAGGTGTAGAGCCCTTCCCCAGCGTCACACATCCTGGGGACACAAGTGGCATGGAAGGCAAGGTGGTGGGGGCCCCTTTGCACACACCCACATGGTTGGGCTGTCCTATGCTCCAGGCCCTCTGGGAAGCAGGCAGGGCTGTCACCTGGGGGTCTGACCACAGCTCAGGTGTGCTGAGCAGTTTCAATGTGCCAGGTGGTGATCTAAATGCTTTACAAGAATTAGTCCATTCGGTTTTCTCCACCACCCAGTCTGGTCTGTGCACTATTAGTTTCCTCAGTTTTAGAGGTTTTCTCAAACCACTTCACAGTGAGGAAACACAGGCAGGAGGTAAGTAACTTCACCAAGGTTCTACAGGGTTGCACAGCTGTGAAGTCTGGCTCCTGAGTTCATGCTATGGGTTACCCAGTCCTCACCACAATGCCATGAGGTTAGGTACTTTTCTTGTGCCTATGTAACAGATGAGGAAACTGAGACTTAGGTCCACAATCCAGAGCTAGTAAGTGCCAGTGCCAGCATTTGGTTTGAGCCCACGCAATTTGATTTTGGTAAACTGCCTCACAGCCTGCCTGATGTGAGCCTCAGTTTCTTCATCTGTAAAATGGGAACACCATGTTCCCTTTTGTGTTGCTGTGCCGATAAATAACTTAAGCTTCTAGCACAGTGCCTGATACAGAGTGAATGGCAGCCACCATCATGACCACAGTGGGACAGGGTAGGGAGGCAAGAGAGTCCTACCGGCCAGCCTCGAAGGTAAAGCGTGTGGCATCCCGGCCATAGCGGCGCAGTGAGCAGAGGGGCCACGAGACGAGCTTCACGCGGGGGTTGTGTATGTCCCAGAGGTAGATGTTCTCGTGGGTGATCTGCAGCTTGCACTCACCATACACGTCCAGGTTGGGGCAGGGCAACAGGAAGACATTAAAGCGATCTGGAGGGAGAAAGGATGAATAGGTCTGGAGCTTCCCGTGGGGAGGCCACCTGCCCCCTTCCTCCTCTCCCTCTCCCACCACCTGTCTGTTCACACTGCACCCCTCACCTGTCTGTTCACACTGCACCCCTGGGGCTAGGAGGTCCGGCTCTCCCAGACTGATGTCGTTGAGCCGCGACCCCAGACATTCCACAGACAGTGTCTTGTACCACTCCTCCGCCTCCAGCTCTGGAGAAAATAGTACATCGTTGTGCTGCCGGCACAGGGACCCCCCAGCAGCCCACCCCATCTACTCAGCCTGAGTTAGCCCACCATGCAAGGCAGGGAGGGTAAGGCCAGTGAATTCTGCTCCACCTCATCCTGGGGGCCTGCTCACTCAAAGGTACCGCCAACCCTCATCCCAACCATTATAGCAGCCAGGGCTAACCCTGCTCTGCCTTCTCCCAACTGGACCACTGAACCACAGCTGGCCCAGGGGAGGCTGGATGGAGGTCTGCAGCCCCATCTGCAGCCCCAGCTCCTCACCTGAGTCGCAAGTGAAGGTACGGGCTGAGTCATCAGTGAATATGATGGCCACCGCCTGTCTCTTGGTCTCCTTGGGGAGCCGTGTGACACATTTGACATTACTGATCTCGGTCACCTAGGATGGCATCCACAAAGGACTCAGCCAGGTTAGAGCACCTCCCTGTGCATCCCCCACAGTTCTGCCACCCCCGGGAGGGTACTCTTGGATGTCAGGACTCTTAAATCATCATTGCTTACAGGTTAGGGGAGCTAGGGCCCAGGCCCCCTAACCTTGGGACAGCCTCGGAGGCACACTGACTTCTCATCCGGATACTTCTCCAGCCGCTGGGGCCCCTTGCTGGAGGATTTCCGGAACACCAGCCAGCACCTGCGGTAGATCTGTGGGGCAAGGTGATGGGATCAGGCTTCCCGCTCCCATCCAACATGGCCCTGCAGTTTCACCTGCCTGCCGCAGGGGGCAGTGTCACACAGCCGTCCCTGGAGGCCCCAGCCCAGGGGAAAGCCTGGGCACAGCTGGCACCAGCATGACACCCCCTGGGGGAGAGTCCCCTCCCCAAATGGAAAAGGCAGTTATTTCTTGGCTGGCTCTGAAAGGCTTTTCCACAAACGGTACACTCCATTTACAGTGAGTTCAGCTCGGAGTGTACAGTGACCCTTGAACCACACAGGTTTGAACCACAGGGGACCACTTATACATGGATTTTTTTCAATAAATACACAGTCGATCTTATGTATCCGGGTTTCACAGGATTTTAAACTGTGACTGGGAATCTGGATGCAGAGGGCCGACTGTATGCATTGTTCCATGCTGTTTTATATAAGGGACTTGAGCACCTGTGGATTTTGGTATCTGTGGGGGCCCTGGCACCAATTCCCTACAGATACGGAGGGACGACTGAGGAGTCAAAAGTTTTCTACCATGAGGGGGAGGGAGCTCGATGCCCCTAATCTCCCTATTGTTCAGCTGTGACATAAGTAGCCATTTATTGAGTGCCTCTTATTTGTACTTTTTGGGATTAGCACTCTACACAATAAATCTCATGGTCCCGCTTGAGGTCGGTTCTATTATCACCACTTTATAGATAAGGAAAAAGCACCAAAAAGTTAAGTGACAGTTAATAAATGGTAGTTAGTCTTTAAGACAGGCTGTCTAGGTCCAGTGCCAAAACTTGGAGCCCACTGTATACACAGTTCTGCCCAGGGCTCCGGTAGCACCAGCCACCTCAGTGGGAGTGTCCCAGGGACAGGGATTAGACCCTTTCCCACTCCCAGCCTGCACATCACAACCCTCATTCTCAGAGCTCAGAGGCTTGGTGTGGGCAACACCCCCTCTTGGCCTCAGGAGCTTTCACTCATACACTTCATTCTCTAACCAACCCTGGGGTATAGGGGCCAGGGTTAGTTGCCTGTTCCAGTTGGGAAACCAGGGGCTCTCAAGGTAAAGGGACAGAGCCAAGAACCTGGGGTGACCCCAGAGCACAGTGCCTTCCAGCAAAGTTCCCTCCTTGTCCAACCACTGCCAGTGACCCTGTGCCTAAAACCACCCAAATTCTCTATAGCTTCTTGGACTCCTCCCAAGGGTCAAAGAGCCGAGGAGGGAGCAGACCATCCTCTAGGGGAATGGGGGCAAACTGGCTGATCAGACAACTCAAGGACTGGCCCTAGCTACCTGCTTGGGCTGCTGATTTCCTCCCATGGCCCCTCCCTCCAGCCTCAGGCTCCCTTCCAGCCTAGTCTGGCTGGAATGTCCCTACTTTTTCAGTGGGCGCTCCTGAAGCCTGCAGACCCCGTTCCCCAGAAATCTCTTGTGCTCCTCTCATTGGCAAACAGTAGGGAGTCTGAAGGGTGTCCCAGAGCAGAGGAAGTGAGGGGGCCTCAGGGCCTTAGCCCCAAGCCCCTGCCCCCTCCCCAGCCCTGTTTTGCCATGCAGGCTCCAGGTCCTTGGCAGGCAGAGTCCCAGGGTACAGGGGGCCTAGGCAGCCCCCATCCCATGATTGTGGCTCAGCCCCTGGCCTGTCTACCTACACCATGCAGCCCTCAGCTCTCAGCCAAGGAGCTCCTTTAGGACAAACGCTGTATTTTATTCTCAGAATCCTCACTTACATTCTGGTAGCCTCGTTAACAGAGATCTGAATGGCTGTGTGACGGGACCATGAATGAATGGATGGGTGGATGCGTGACCCAGATATGCCCTACCAGGTTGGGCTCCATGCAGCCTGCAGTGTCAGGGGCAAAAGGCCTGAGGGGGCTGAGCACCCTGGTTGCCTGGTTACAGGGACACACACACACACACACACACACACACACACACAGAGCCCCAGGGAGCCGCTGCGTTCAAGAGCCCTCCTCCCCCACTTCTCACAGGTCTTTGATCAGTACTTCAGAAACACTGCCACAGCTCTACCTCGAAAGCCCTGGCAGGTGGGGGGAGGGCTCCGGATCTCTTTCAGCCCCTCCCCGCTCACCTCTATGGGATGAGACCATAATGGCTGTCCTGGAGATGACTGCTGTCCCTCATATCAGGTCTGGAAGAGGAAGCTAAATTCCCTGAGTTGGGGGAGGGTCCACATTGGGCCTAGCCATGCCCCACCTCCCAATTCCCTTTCCCCTGGCTGTGCCCACTGTGGAGGTTCCAGTCTACCTGGACAGGTCTGATACTGAGCCCAGTGGCTACCACAAGTAGCCTGTCTTCCAGGTAAGCTTTGTCCTGGCCAGGACCTCAGCCCAGCTAGCCCGTGGGGACCTTCTAGGTCTGGGCCCATATGAATGGAGAGCCATACTAGAAGCTGGGCCCCTACCTACTCGGCCTCCCCCCATCTCAGCCTCAGCCTCTCTCCTTGGTCTGTGCTCCAAATGAGCTCCAACCCTCTTTCAGAATAAAAGCAGAGTGGCTGAGAGCCACCAGCGCCCAGTTTCCTGGGCTGGGGCCCAGGATGGACACAAATCCAAATTCAAATAAAGCTGCAAACATGCCCACCAGCTCGGTGCTGGACAGACAGACATACCCCCATGGGGCCCTCAGGCAGGAGGGGGATCCCTCTCCAAAGTGAGCGCTGCTCTGTCCTGTACCCATACAGTACCCAGGCAGGGCAGCTGGTATGGAGCCCTGTTCCTCCCCCACCCCACTCACACACAGCCCGGAAGCCTTGAGCAGTCAGATCCCACCCCCACCCATCAAGGCCATTGGGGAGGGAAGAAGGGAGCCACCAGAGACCCAGGTAAACACTAGACTTGGGCCACCTCAGTCTCCAGGGTTTCCATCCTACTGGGAGGGTGCGGCTGCCAGGCCCTCCACTGGAGGTGGGGAGGGTCAGCAGAAGGAGATGGGCAGCTCCTGGACAATTCCACCTAGATCATTAAGTTGGTCCCTGGGGTCCCTGCTCATGCCTTCTGGGGGGTCTTCACCAGCCAGGCATGGGAGAGGGTGCACACCCAGGTGTGTCTAAGGCTTCATCTCCATGAACCCTCCAAGCCCCAGCTCCAGGCCGAACACTGAGCACAGAGGGAGCAACTCGGGCCCAGGAGCCCCAAGTTCTCATTCATAAGCCACATAAGCATCAGCTCGGCCCCTCACACCACCACACGCCCCTACAGCCAGCCACTCTCCTTTTCAAACACTTCTTTAACGGTAAGAGCAACAACCAAAGATAAATAAATAAATAAATACCTGTACACAGAAAGCAATGGGAAGCAGTGGGCGAGGAGGGACTTAGAGGAAAAGAGGCCAGAGGAGGGGAGGGGAGAAAGGGGGAGGCGGCAGCAAGGAGAGGAGAGGGGAAGTGAGAGCTGGTCTCCGCTCAGACACAGCCTGGCCTCTGCCCTGCCCTGGTGACAACTTCAACAATAGCCAGGGAGACCATCGGCTGCCACCACTGGTCCAGCTGCTGGGATGCCAGACAGTCCTGCTGGGGTGGGGGCTGCAGCGGCAGGGCCGGGCCCAGGCACATGCCAGGCAGCCCGCTGTCCCGAAGCCTGGAGACCACAGATGCATGATACTGAGCTTGTACCCTGACCTGCCAGGTTCCAGACTGAGTCCTACAAGCCTGTCCCTCGGCAGGGCCCTTGGAAGATGGCTCACCCCGAGCTTCCTGCTCTTCATCTTCACGTAGCCTTGCTTGACAATGTCGTTGAAATTGGTCGCCATGGTTTCCCCTCCTTTTCTTGGGCACAGGGCCTGGCCAAGGCGAGGGGAGGGATGCCCAGGTGGCCTCAGTTTCCGGCTCCTCCGGTCACCTGTTCCAGACACTCCTTCGGGGCTTCCTGTCGGAGGCAGAGCGCAGCTCCTCACCTCGCCAGCCTCAGCATTGTTCTAGCAGCTCCTTCGCCCGGCGCCTGCTGGAAATAAAAATGACGGGGAGATTAGACAGTGACATCTTTCTCTTCCCTCGCTGTCTCGCTCTTTTTTCCTTCCTCTTCCCACACTCCTCTCTCCCCCCGCCCCCTCCACCCGCCCTTCTTCCTTCCCTTCCCTCCCCACCCCTGGACGATAGAACCATTCAGGAAAACCGAGGTGGAGGCAGCAGCAAGGAAAATGGTCCAGCCCAGTCCCCTCCCTCAGGGCCAGGGCTGGCAGTTAACCCCTTCCTGGGAGGACGGGCTCTGGCTGTGCCGCGGAGGTGGGGGCAGAGGAAGAGGTGGCCCCCAAGCTGGTGTCCAGCCCAGTCTCCTGTTACAACTTCGGGGCAGACTTAGGGCAACTTGCCCCCTCCATGTGCAGGAGGCCCACGGGAGCCTTCCCAGAGATGGAGGGGTTCCCCAGAAGATGGAAGAGTCTAGTGTCTGAGTGAACCCCACACTCACTGAGGTTAAGAATAATTTGCCTTGTCAGTCTCAGCAGACCCCCTCACCCTTCTACCTCCCCCCACTCCTATACCTGGTTCTCTCCAGCCCCAGGCAAGGAGCCGAGAATGGAGACTCGCCCCCCTCCCCCCCCAGCCCACTCAGGCCCTGCTCCCCGCCCCTTGAACTCTTCAGCAGTTCCTCTGGGTGTTGCTCCCTGGGTGGGAGGGCAGAGTCCAGCGGGCGGGCCCCCAGATAAGCCTGAGGAATGTGCTGGGCCTGCTGGCGACGGCCACCCTGCACGCAGATGCCTCACCCTGGCCCTGGTGCTGGGAAGGCTCTGGGTCTGGCCAGGCTATGCAGTGCCCCCACGTCCTGACCTGGGCCTGGGGCACAGGACACAGCCAGATGACCATGAGGGGTGCCAAAGGGGAGTCAATATGGGGCAGGAAATCGGAGTGCCAGCAGGGGCCACTCAGAAGCAGATAGTGAGTCAAAGACAGATTCAGACTCAGCCCCGGGGGGAGGTCCTCAGTGATGACCCAGTTCAATACCCATTTTACAAATGGGAAAATAAACTTGCTCAGAGAGGCTAAGTGGCAGGTCTAAGGTCACACAGCAAGCCCAGGGCACAGCCAGAGACAAATGAAAAGTTTCAGAGTGGTTAATGGGCGCAGGCCGGGGGGAGCGGGGGTGAATGTCCTGCGGCCATGTCTGGCTGCTTGCTGCTATCTCAGCCCTTTCTGCCATCCAGGCTTAGGGGCAGGGCTGTGCCAGCAACATGGCCCCCCATGTCTCCAGGACCTCTGGGTGGAAATGAGCAGCATTTCTGGGGTCAGCTGGGCATCTGTGCTGCCAAGACAGAGCCCGGGGCAGGCACGCTACTGGATCTGCCAGCAGCTGGGCATTGACTAATCTCCTGGAAGCCTGTCTGTTAAGTCCCTGTCAAGAGAACAGATGGGACTGCCCGTGGGCACACGCAAACAAGGAGGGCAGAGAGGGTGACGCCCCACTACCCTACTTGCACACTGACGGCCTCTCCAGCACCGCTTAGCTTCAGCTGCCTCCCTGCTGTTCACCCCTCTACCACACCCCCAAGTGGGACGCCCACGTGGTCTGTTTTCCTCCTGCAAAATCTGCTCTGGGGTCCCTCCCTGGCACTGCCCCACCTGGGCTCTGTCCCCACCACCTGCCCCTGGGGCTGCCTGGCCCCCATAGCAAGGACCAGCTGCATAAAATTCCCCTCCAAGATGACAGCAGGCTGGCCCCTGGCTGTAGAGCCACAGCAGGGAAGGCCCCTTTCGAAACACACCCACAAGAAAACACCAGGCCCCTGGGTTCATTCAAGGCAGCCCAAGATGGGGCACCGCTAGGAGTGTGAATCCAACTAGCCAGGCAGTTTGGGCAAGCCCCTCTCTGTGCCTCAGTTTTCCCATTAAAAAAACAAACAAACAACAACAAAAAAAAACAAGAATAAATCCATATACTTTAAATGAGAAAATTAATCCATGAGGCACCTGCCTGCCCACTTTGGAACCAGAGCTTCTGCCTCAAAAACAAGATCTGTTTTCATTTCAAGAATTGCTGCCCAGCCAAAGGTTGTGATACCACCATAACTCAGCCATAATCCACCTGCCCAGTGCAGGCCTCTCCTTCCTGGCTCCACCAGCTACCTTCCCAGTGGCGCTGCCCCGTGACTGGGCCACCAAGCTCTCAGGAACACCCCTGCAACATATGTCCATAAGCCCACAGCCTGTCCCATATTCCAGACCCTAGAATCAGACCCAGAGAAATAAACCAGCAGAATAAAAACCTTCCTTGGGCCCTGGCCAGTTTGGTTCAGTGGTTGGAGCGTCGGCCTGTGGACCAGAGAGTCCCAAGTTCGGTTCCCGCTAGGGATACATACCAAAAAAAAAAACACAAAAAACCTTCCTTGGGAAGCCTGGGTGGCAAAGGGCAAGAACAAGACCCCACCTGGGAGCCAAAATAGTACAGCAAAGAGGATCGGGGAGGGAAATAGGGAGGGAGGGAGGGGGAAGGGCCAACAGATGGACCACCAATTCAACAGGCGATAGTCAGGTGGGGGTGGGGGGGATCGGGAACCAGCCCAGCCCCCAGAGGGACTGCACTCTGTTAAGCTAGAGAAATGGCCCAGACTGAGCTGTGCAGGCCCAGCAGGGCTCAGCAGGTCAGGAACTGGGGGCAGCCCCTGCCCTGCCACCCCCGGGCCACTTTCCCTTTGGCTCCTGAGCCACCAGCTCCACCTCTCACCAGCCTGCAGCAGGGCAGAAGACCCCAGTAACTCAAGAGGACCTGAGGTCTGGATCCTATGAGCTCAGCTCTGAGCACCCAGAGAAACTAAGCAGGGTGACCAACCAGCAGTCCCCTCAACACTGCAGGGGGAAACAAGGGCCCCCCATTTCTCCTCCCAGCCTGGTATCCTCACAGCTGAGAGTCACTCAGAGACAGTACTGGCCCCGGGCCAGGCCACCACGGGCTTCACAGAGAGCAGAGCTGAACCCCCTCTCCCCCCAGGAAAGGGCAGGTGTCCTGTGGGGAGGGGGAAAGGGGCCTTCCTTTGCCCAGCAGAGGGGAGGGATGGGGCTGCCCTGCCTACCTGCCCCATGGGGCAGCGGCCCTGAGTGCTCCCTTGGTGCACCTGGATTCTGCCTGGAGGCTTTGGCTCCAGAACAAACACTACTTGCTGCTGTTGGCAACCAATGAGGCAGGAGCGGCTGCCTGCCTGGCTGGGCCTCCCCACCCATGAGAGATCGGATCTTATCAGGGCTCTGGGACATCCCTACCTGGACACCTGGCTCCCTGTTGTCTCACTGTCTCCACCGCACAGCAAAGATCCTGTGGACACGATTCTCATCTGCACCAGGGACATTTCCCCTCACCTGTGGTCTGGGCCTCTCTCCAGCGTGTGGTTGATATCAGAGCCAGGGGGTCCCCCTTCCGCCTCCCCACTATGCAAATCCCCCTACGGAACCACCACTTGAAACACTGCAGGTCTCATCCAAGGTGGGTGGCAAAGAGATCAAATACTCAACTGGGCAGAAAGGAACCACAGAACGAGAGACATCTGAACAGTCCCTGTTTCCTGAGCCCTTAAGTCAGAAAAGTGATGCCATGCCTGACACCATGGCTGGCCCCTCTGTTCTCTCCTGGTCCCACCCACCCCGGTCTTTTCTTCCTCTGCTCAGTACACCTGGCCACAGCCATGCTGACCCTTCTTTCTCAACACGCCTACCTCCTTCCCACGCAGGACCACTGCTATTTCCCGCCTACAACACTTCTCTCGGATGGTCCCCAGGTTCATTCTACCACTTCATTCAGGTTTCAACTCAAAGGTCACCTCCTCAGAGAGGCCTTCCCTGACCACCTCGGCCAAAGGAGCCCCGTCAATCAGCCTCTATTACAACATCCAGGTTCGCTGTCCTCTCCACGGGCATCACTATAGGATTTTCTTGTTCCTTCATCAGTTCATCGGCTACTTGGCAGCTCAGTCTTCTAGAACACCCTAGAATGTCAGCTCTCTGATGCTAGGCCTTGTTCTGTCTAGTTCACAGCTCCATCCCAGCACCCAGAATGGTGCCTAGTGCAGAGGGGGAGCTCGATATTTGGGGACTGAAAGCATAATTCTCTCCAGGATTTGTCCTCCTCATCCTTTTGCCCACTACCACCTGGCCAGACCCAGCTCAACTTCCAGAGGTGTGTGAGCAGTGGCGGGCTCCCACCTCCCTGGACCCCGGGGCTTCCCGGTGCTGACGGTCATGGCCAGCAAGCGTGTTCCTGAAGAACCAGCAGGCCACCAGACCTCGGTTCGGTTCAGAGCTGCCTCGGGGGAGCAAACACTGCTGACACTGCGCCCAGGCCTGGCTGGGCAGCTCTCCCCACCCCTTCACCAGGGTTGCTGGGTGAGGTCCTGTCCAGCCCTGCTGCCCTGCCCAGGAGAGAAGAGCTGGAAGTAGTCAGCTCCCAGGCACAGAGAGGCAAGCAACTGGCCAGGAGGGGGCACAGTTCCTGGGACCCATCCCTCCGAAAGAGAAGAATCTGTGCTAGACAAGCCCAGCCTCCAGTGGCTGCAGTGATCCTGCCAGGCCCCTCACTGCCCTTGACTGCCAGACCCCTCCACCCCAAATCCTCCACCAAAGTGTCCTGGCAACTGCGGCTTGGGACAGGCAGGCTGCAAGAGACCCTGCTCTGCTCACATCACTGCCCAGACTCCACGTCCGTCCCGCTGCCATGACAGAAAGCACTGAACTGGAAGCAGGGCCTTGGGGGTCCTGGGGGAGAAGGTGGACAGGACCCCGGGGCCAGGTGAGAAGGTTCAGGGACAGCAGGCAGCTGGCCATGGGTTTAAGTTGTAGGGTGGGCAGTGGGGGCAGGCGGAGCGCAGAAAAGACTCTTGGAATTTGGGGAAGCTGAGAGAGCAGGAAAGTGGGGGCTGCATGGGCAGGTTTATGCCCCTTGGGGATGGCAGGCCCAGTGGCAGGGAGCACAGGCCTGGGCTTCTCGAAGGGGTATATGTGGGGTAGGGATGAAGTCAGGCCCCCGACCCCGGCCCCTCTGCAGAGGGGGGAGCTCAGGAGATAGTTGCTAGGGCCTAGGCTGGCTTTTGGGGAGCATGTCCCAGAGCTCTTCCCCACCTCCCCCCAAGTAGGAAGGGCCCATGGGCTTGGAGAGTTCTCAGGTTGGCGTAGCCCTAGGTCTCCCGGGTTGGGCCTAGGGCACCCCCGTCCCTGCCTCGCGCCCCCTAGTTACCTGGGAGCCGCGGCCCGGGCCGGGGAAGCTTGCAGGGCGGGCGGCGGGCCAGACTCATGCCCTCGTCACGGCGGGGCCGGCGGTGGCGGCGAGGCGGCGGCGGCGCCGGGCTCCGGGCGGGGACGGCGAGGGAGGCGCGGCCGCCGGGCTGGGCTCCGGCGGGGACTAGGGTGCGCTCCCTGCTCCGCCCCGCCCGCCCGGCCCGGGCGCCCGGCCCCCGCCGTATTCCTCCGAGCCGCGGGACACGCGCTGCCGCCCGGCCCTCCCTAGTGCGCCTCCGAGACCCTCACGTCTCCCTGGTACCCGGGCTCAGCCCCATTGCCCCTCTCTGGCCCCAAAGCCCAATCTCACTTCGCTTCGCAGCCCCTGGAAGCTGAACCCCACATCAGCTCCCAACCCCTCAATCTCAACTCCCAGCCTCTCCAGGAATCACACACACCCCTATTGCTGCCCTTATTCCCTGCAGGACTCCCTGGGCCCTCAGGGCCCAGCTTCCCCCAGAACCCCAGTGACCTCCTTAGTGCCCCACCCCACCTCGCACACACTGTGGGAGCGCATCATTGCCTCCGTCCTGGATGTCATCCCCCCTGGAAGTCTGCCAGCTTCCCCTTCCCCTTCCCTGGCCTCCCTACCCTCATAACACCTAGACTCCCATTTTACGTCCCCTTGAGACTCTGCCCTCAGGTCAAACCCCATTGCCCTTGGTCACCCCCAGCACACACACCCGCCTCACTGGCCCTCAGGCCCCCGCAGGTGCTGGGTCACTGCCCAGCTGGGCTCACACACTACAGGCCTCCTCTGCTGGGCCAGGCAGGGATGGTGAAGTCACCTAGGGCCTCCCCTAGCGGCGGAATGCCTCACCCTCTGGTTTTCCTGCTCCCACCCTTTTACACCAGTGGTTCTCAGAGTGTGGTCCCTGGGCCAGAGATATCAGCATCACATTGAAATTTGTTAGAAATGCAAACTCCCTGCCCCACCCCAGACCTATGAAATCAGACTCTGGGAGTAGCACCCAGAAATCTGTTTTTAAAAGCCCCCAGGTGTTGCCCTGGTCGGTTTGGCTCAGCGGTTAGAGCAGCGGCCTGCGGACCAGAGAGCCTCAGGTTTGGTCCCGGCTAAGGGCACGTTCCTCGGTTGCAGTTTGTCCACCGCCCTGGTTGGGGTCCTGTGGGTGGCAGCCAGTTGATGTGTCTCTTTCACATTGATGTTTCTCTCTCTTCCTCCTGCTCTATCTGAAGATAAATGCAAAAATGTCCTTGGGTGAGGATTAAAAAAAAAAAATTCTATTACCAGATTCCCCCACACCAAAAAACTAAACTGAAACCTGATTATGTTATAATATAAAAAAAAAAAAAGCTCCCGGGTGTTTCTGATGCCCACTCACCACTGCTTTAGACCAAATATTTAGAACAAAACCATTGTCCAGGTTTCCCAGAGGGACAGGCCTGATGGAGCAAGGCTCCAAGAACATCAGCACTCACCCATGGAGTCCAGCCCCTGCCTCCAAGACATGGCCTCCACCTTGCCCAGGGAGCTGCTTCTTGGGTGGCTGCTCCTCTTCCCCTAAGAATTCCCCTGGATGGTCCCTGGATGGTGACTGTGACCACAAGGGGAGCCACAGGGACTCTCTGGTCTTCCTGCCCTGGCCCTGGGCTAACCAACCCCAGACTGCCAGGGGAGGAGGAGGTGGCTGCCCCAGTCCCTGTCAGCCAAGCTGGCCTGGGTCTCACTCGACCTCCTGACCTCCCCATGCCTCTTCCGAACTTGACCCCACCTGTTTTGCTTCAAACCACAGCTCATAAAGCCCCCAGCACTTGATCCATCAAAGAAAAATGTTTTTGCCACCAGAAACCTCTGGAGGAGTTTTGGCCAACTTAAAAAAAAAAATGTGTTCTCAATAAAAAGTAATCTCTAGAGTGGGGTTTCCCAAACTTCTTCATCCTCTCAACCTCATATTATTGTTCTATTCCCTCTTGGTCTGTACTACAGTCACCTATATATATTTTTAAATTAAACTTTTTGAGATATTTGTAGATTCCCATGAAGTTATAAGATATAATACAGATAAATTCTGTGAACCCTTTCCAGTATCTCCAATGGTCACATCTTGCAAAACTAGAGCACAATATCACAGCCCAGATATTGACATTGAAACGGTCAAGATATTGAACATTCCCATCACCACAAAGCTGCCTCCTGTTGCCCTTTTATATCCATACCACTTCCCTCCCACTCTCACATCTCAACCACTAATCTGTTCTCCATTTCTTTTTTTCTTTCTTTATTGATTTTAGAGAGAGAGGAAGGGAGAGGGAAAGATAGAAACATCGATTGGCCGCCTCCTGCATGTTCCCTACTGGGGATTTGGTCCACAACCTGGGCATGTGCCCTGACCGGGAATCAAACCGGTGACCTCTTGGTGCGTGGGTCGACGCTCAACCACTGAGCCACACCGGCTAGCTGTTCACCATTTCTATACTTTGGTCATTTACAACATTTATTTGGTCATTGTTAACATTTTCCTGAATGGTATAAAATTGGAATTATAAATGTGTAATCTTTGGGGATTCGTTTTTTTTGTTTTTGTTTTTTTTGCACTCAGCATAATTCTTTGGAGATTCATCCAAGTTTTCACATGTATCAATAATTTGTTCCTCTCCTTGTTGAGTAGTATTCCATGGTATGGATGAACCGCAGTGTGTTTATTCGTGTACCCATCTAAAGATATACGGGTTGCCAGGCTGGTGTGGCTCAGTGGATTGAGCTATGTCCTATGGACTGAGAGGTCCCGGTTCCATTCCGGGGCAGGGCACATGCTCAGGTTGCAGGCTCAATCTCCAGTAGGGGGCGTGCAGGAGGCAGCCGATCGATGGTTTTCTCTCACATGGATGTTTCTATCTCTCCCCTCTCTCTCTAAAAAATCAATAAAAACATATTTAAAAAAAAAAAGACATACAAGTTGTTTTCAGTTTGGGGCTATTATGAGTGAAGATGCTATAAACATTAATGTACAGGTTTTTATGTGAACATACATCTTGACTGCTCTGGAATAAATGCCTAGGAGTACAGTTACTCGGTCATATGGTAATTGCATGTTCACTTAAAAAACTGCTGAATTGTTTTCCAGAGTGGCTGTGCCATTTTTATAACCACAAGCAATGTATGAGTGATCCAGTTTCTTTGCATCCTCACCAGCATGTGTTATTGTCACCACTTTTCTTTTAGCCCTTCTGTTATATATGTGGTGATATTTCTTAGTGGTTTTAATTGGCATATCCATAATGGCTAATGTTGTTTCATCTTTTTTTTTTTTGAGTGCTAATTTGCCATCTGTGTATCTTCTTCAGGAAAATATTTCTTCATGTCTTTTGTCCATGTTCTAATTCAATTACAGTATTTGCTTTCTTACTATTGAGTTTTGAGAATTCTTTGTTGTTGTTGTTGTTGTTGTTGATTTTTAGAGAGAGAGGAAAGGAGAGGAAAAGAGAGAGAGAAATATTAATGTGAGAGCGAAACAATCTTTTGATGCCCCCCACCAGGGATCTAGCCCACAACCACAACCTGGGCATGTGCCCTAACTGGGAATTGAACCAGCAACCCTCTGTTGCATGGGACAATGCCCAACCAGCTGACACACACCATCCAGAGAAGAGTTCTTTATACATTCTAGGTGCTAGTCCTTTTTCAGATATGTGGTTTACAAATATTTTCTCCCCGTCCATAACTTTTCTTTTCATTCACCTAACAAGGTCTTTCACAAAGCAAACGTTTTTCATTTCAATGAGGTCCAAATTATCAATTTTTCTTTTACGGATTGTGTTTTCAATGCCACGTGTAAGAATTATTTTTCTAGCACTTGATCCTGAAGATTTTCTCCTTTATTTTATTCTAAAAGTTCTATAGTTTATGTTTTACATATAAATTCTGTGATCCACTCTGAGTTACACTTTGTAGGAAGTGTAAGGTGTGAGACTTGGGTTGATGTGGTTTTGTTTTGTTTTTTAATCCTCATTCAAGGATATTTTTTCAAATATTTCAGATAGAGTGGGAGGGGGAAATAGAGAGAGAAACATCAATGTGAGAGAGACGCATCTATTGGCTGCCTCCTGCACCACCCTGACCAGGGCCAGGGATCGACCGCAATCTAGGTACATGTCCTTGGCTGGAATTGAACCTGAGACTTTTTGGTCTGTGGGCCAACGTTCTGATCGCTGAGCCAAACTGGCCAGGGTTTGATGTGTTTTTTGTTTTGTTTTGTTTTGCCTATGGATGTGAAATTGTTCCAGCACCATTTTGTTAAAAAGTCTCCCTTTCTTCCATTGCAATGATTTTGCAGCTCTGTCAAAAATCATTTGGGTCAGCCCGGCCGGCGTGGCTCAGTGGCTGAGCGTCGACCCATGTAACAAGAGGTCACCTGTTCGATTCCTGGTCAGGACACATGCCCAGGTTGTGGGCCTGATCCCCCCGGTGGGGGGCATGCAGCAGGCAGCCAATCGATGTTCTCTCTCATCGATGGTTCTATCTCTCTCTCTAAAATCAATAAAGAAAAAAAAATCATTTGTGTCTATTGTGGATTCTCTGTTCTGTTCCATTGATCTATGTGTCTCTCCCCCTGCTAAAAGCACATGGTCTTGATAATAAGTCATGAAATCAGGCCAAGTGATTCCTCTCACCTTATTCTATTTCAAAATCATTTTATTTTATTTTATTTATTTATTTATTTTTGTTACAGATGTTTCTCCTTTTCTCCCCTTGATAGCCTCCTCCCAATCCTGCCCCCCCCCAAATCATTTTAGCTAGTTTAGTTTCTTTGCCTTTCTATATACATTTTAGAATAATCTTATCTATAGCTATAAAAAATCTTGGTAGGATTCTGATAGAAATTACATTAGACTTGTTTATCAGCTTGGAGAAAATTGATATTTTTACTATGTTGAGTCTTTCCATCCAAAAACACAGTATGTCTCTCCACTTCTTTGATTTCTTTCATCAGCATTATGTAGTTTTATTCAAGTTCTACACACATTTTGTTAGAGTTACACCTAAGTATTTTATTTAATTTT